TTCCTAAAAAGGATGGTAAAAAGCGAATGATTATGGACTATCGTTACGTGAATGAGCACACGGTTAAAAATGCGTATCCGCTGCCTTTGATTAGTCAGCTGGTGGACAAATTGGCTGGCGCCAAAATCCTGACAAAGATGGATCTCAGATGGGGGTACAACAATGTACGAATCAAAGAGGAAGATGCTTGGAAGGCCGCATTCACGTGCCACCGAGGATCTTTCGAACCCCTTGTTATGTTCTTTGGGTTGACCAATTCACCGGCGACCTTCCAGAGCATGATGAACGAGATCTTTGCGGATATGGAAAACTGTGTCGTCATTTACATTGACGATTTATTAATATTTACAAAGTCGGACGATGAGGCTGAGCATGACAGGATCGTGCAAGAAGTCCTTCGACGCTTACAGGAACGGGACCTATTTGTTAAACCCGAAAAATGTAATTTTAAAGTGAAGGAAGTAGACTTCCTCGGTATGATCATAGGCCAGAACGGAATCAGGATGAACCCTGAGAAAGTTCAAGCTATTTTGGAATGGCCAGAACCTACTCGCGTCAAAGGAGTTAGGGCTTTCCTAGGCTTAGGTAATTTCTACCGAAGGTTTATTGAAAACTTTGCAAAAATCACGAGACCGTTGAACGATCTCACCAAAAAGGACCTTGTTTGGCAGTGGGGCGCCAAAGAACAGGAAGCTTTTGATAAGCTTAAACAGGCATTTACAACAGCGCCCATATTGGCATTCCCTGAATTAGACAAAGAGTTCCGGCTAGAAACCGACTCTTCTGACTTCGCCACTGGGGCTGTTCTATCAATCAAAAGCCCTGATGATCTTTGGAGGCCTTGTGCCTATTTATCACATAGTTTGTCGCCTACAGAGCGCAACTATCAAATATACGACAAAGAGATGCTGGCCATCATTAGAGCTTTAGAGCACTGGCGGCACTACTTAGAAGGTGCTAGGCACCAATTTGAAATTTGGACCGATCATAAGAACCTAGAGTACTTCATGACGGCCCGAGACCTGAACCGGAGACAAGCCCGCTACGCGGTGTACTTGTCAAGGTTCAATTATAAATTAATTCATAAGCCAGGAAGCTCAATGGGGAAAGCGGATGCTTTATCTAGAAGAGAGGATCATGCCAACGGCATTGAAGATGACAACAAAGGTGTCACCCTGATAGATCAATCAAGGGTTGCCAATGTTAGAATCGGGCAAGATTCCGCTCTCCTGGAAGTCTTCAGGAAAGACATCTCCCCAGAGGAAAAGGCGCGCCTTGACGGCAATGAAAACTATTCATGGAAAGACGGGCTCTTTCATTTCAAAAACAAAATCTATGTGCCTGAGTCCGCAAGGATCAAGGCAATAGATAGACATCATGACACTCCAGTGGCTGGGCACCCTGGATGGCAACGAACAATGGAGTTGATCTCCAGAAACTACATGTGGCCGGGCATGGTCAAAGACATACAGGAATACGTAAAATCCTGTCTGAGATGCGCCATGGCCAAGAATTCCCATCAACCGCCGGCGGGTAAACTCATGCCGAACCCGATACCAGCTGGCCCCTGGCAGGATATATCGGTGGACTTCACGACGGATCTGCCCGAGTCAAACGGGTACGGTTCAGTAATGGTGGTAGTAGACCGCTTCTCCAAAGAAGTGGTATTCATACCCACCAACAAAACCATCACCGCCGCCGGTACGGCAGACCTATTTAAGGATTTCGTATGGTCAATCCATGGGTTACCAGAAACGGTAATCTCCGATAGAGGACCGCAATTCGCTAGCGAATTTACGAAAGAATTATGCCGGATGCTGGGCATCAAACCTAAATTATCCACGGTGTTCCATCCGCAAACCGATGGACAAACGGAGAGACTCAACCAGGAGTTGAAACAGTATCTCCGGATATTTATTAACGACAGACAGACAGATTGGGCCAAGTGGCTAAAGATAGCCCAGTTCTCTTATAATATTAAACAGTCGTCGGCTACAGAAAAGGCACCATTCGAGGTTACTAGATCGTACCTCCCCAGAATGGGTGTAGAACCTGGCAAAAGCAAAAACAAGGCTGCTGGGAACATGGCAAAAGACATGAAGTCTGTCTTGGACGAAACGCGCAAAGCGCTATTTAAAACTGCGGAGCAGATGAAAGACAGGGCAGAGCGAAGACGCTCTAAGGCCCCTGATTACAAGGTCGGCGACCTGGTCTGGTTAGACACCGACCACTTGAAATTAAAAGACCGGCAGTCTAGAAAACTGACCGAAAAGTGGATTGGCCCTTACCGGATTAAGGAAATCAAACCTAATGCGGTGGAGCTGGAACTCCCAAAACGAATGAGGGTGGTACCCACGGTTAACATTAGCCGTGTGAAACCCTACAAAGGACCGCTGCCGGGACAGCGCGTAGACCGGCCCGGTCCGGTAGTAGTCACCCAGGAAGGTGAAGAAGAGTTCGAAGTCGAACAGGTGGTAGATGCACGCTTGAAGCGTGGAAAATTAGAGTTCCTGGTCCTATGGAAGGGCTATGGAGACGAGGACAGAACGTGGGAACCAGAATCCCATCTGGAAAACTCCCGCAACGCTGTTCGCAAATTTTATTCTAGGAATCCCTCAGCTCCCAGGAAGCTTAGAGGCATGGATTCAAACCTTTTTAATTCCCTCTTTCAACCTATGCCCGAAAATTTTACCACTACCTCCGGAATTTGGTCTCGCCTGGAAGTCGAGCCTTAGAAGGGGGGTAGTGTTACGATAACACAATTTCCGGACATCTCCTTTCCCTTTTATTCTCCGCTTTAAACTTTATACTTTAAGTGCCACGCGGCATTTCCCTTTCTCGCGCCGCGTTGCCTTTCTTTTACTTTTAGACTTAATTCTCTCACGCAGTGGAGCTGGCCATACGGGCTAGACCCTATGACATCATCAGCCACTGCCTTCATCAACTGTATAGTACACATGTACAAACAAACCTGTAGTAGTATATATACCCCAATAGATCCAGGAGACTCCTCAGCGAGTCCTCCTGTTGTATACCAACAAACTCTCTGCAGCTTAAGGGGTAACCACTCCCTCAACATCTTCTTTATAGTGTGTTCTTGTGTGCGCCAGAGTAACTAACTCTTGGTTGTTACATTGACATATTTTAAAACCTCTGGGATTGCTTTTGAGTGACTGAGAAGGAATGGGAGGGAGCATGCACCTCTGCCTAGTGACTTGATCAGCTGATAATGAGCAGCTGTATAGGCGGGGCATTCAAGCATAAAGTGGAGAACAGTCTCTTGGGTTTATGGGCAGTTCCTGCAATAAGGCAAGTCAGCCAAGTGTAGAAAATGAAGGTGGTGGTTCAGTGGTATATGTTGGGAGCATAGCTGGATGAGGAGGCTGGTATGATGTTTCTTGTATGGAGTGATAAGTCTAAGGAACATGTTAGACGGCAAACTTGGGTCTGTCCAAGCCAGCCTTGGTGCTCAAGGTGATTGTTGCCACTCATATCCCTCCTATAATTACTTATTCCCTTACTACTACTAATATCGACAGGTCTTACTATTTCATTATTAATTAGGAATATTACAATTTACTATAAAAGGTAGTTAGATCGATATAGATTCTTTAGTTCAAATATTAGTTGAGATTTGTGCCATTTTCTTTAATACTACACACTCTTCAGTCACCCAAAAATTGTCTATATGCTTGCAGATTATTCTGTTCAAGTCCCTCACTTGATTATTTGGTTGTCTGTTATAAAATTTGAGTTTTGGTTGCCTCACATTGTCCAATATAGCAAAGGGTCCAATATATGTAAGATGTATGTTGATGTGCATGTCATATACTAATAATTTCACACCACTCAATTTGGCCATATGGTGTTTGATTCAATAGTGCAACTGGATCCTATCTATATTCTCAGGGTGCAATCAGTGGTAAGTGTTGTGGACTTGATGATAGACCTCATCTAAAGCATTGGTTGTGCCATAAAAATATTGAGGGTGAACTGTTTTTAGGGGCTTTCAAGCTGACATGGTTCTTGTGGTGGGTCTTCTGAGATGACCCCAGTGCCACAGTATTCCTTGTGCAAGTAGTATGTTTTCTCACATACTTTGTGTTGGATTCCCTTGCACATTGTAATTGCAATAGAATTCCTTGGCTGGTTGGAAAGGCTTGAGTTTTCCATAGTGGGAGGGTGAGGGAGAGGGCACTACTGTGTAGCGCAGTGATGCATCCACTGCACAATAGTGCATTGTGTTTTGTGCACTCAGTCTGGTGCACAGGAAAGCACACCTTGATTGAATCACCACTATCAAAGTCACAAGTCAAAATTGTGGGGAAAATTCAAGGTTAGGTTAGATTAAATTAGATATAAATCTGTTCATTCGTGAGAAATCTATGTAATTTGGTACAACATCAGCAAAAGTGCCCAGAAAAGACAATGCCATAGAAGGCAATAATGCCAGCACTATCACCACTGAACATATCCTCAAAATAAGGTGTACACAATGCATAGCAAGAAAGGTTTCAACCCATTGTGAGTTGTCGTTCTGATCATGATCGACAAGCTCTATCAAGTCAACACGAGCTAGTATGCACAAATCAGCATGATAGAGCTTGTTGATTGATGGTTGAGCCATACAAGAAATGGCTTAAATTGTGAGTCCCATATACACTAGTTTTGCCTTGCTATCTTGTTGCCGCTATAGCTTGTATTTTCCACAACATAAATAAGATGCAGGTCATTAAAAATCATATTAGTGCCATAATAAGAGAGTATGGCATAGATATGTAACAAGAACATGAAGAAAAACAAATAAAAAAAACACCTGCATCAAACTGGCCAAGAAATCAACATAAGGGCTCACTTCCTCCCACATGAAGTCTTCTGTTTCAAAATGTCATGCATCACTTTTTCTTTTCCCATTTTTGATGGTTTTGCTGGGGCTGAGACCTTATTGTCACTAGACAAAGGGCTGCTGTCTGCATCAGATTCAATCAGTGTGCAAGCAGCTATAATGGTCTCTTGAAGGCACTCTGCCTCGGAGGCATCTGGTAAAGATCTTCATCTTCTGCATCACTGTTTGCTAATATTTGAGGTGGTCCTGGTGGTGGATTATCATTAGGGACTGGGCTGTTAATTATGTGAGGGGATGGTGAATGAGCTTCCGCAATGGCAGTGATGGGAGTGGTGCTGGCAGGTTCAGACTCTGGGGTTTGCATTGTTGCTGCGGCTTTTCGAGCAGCACATTGTGCCTTAAGTGCTGATATGTCATTATGCTTTTCTTCAAGTGGGTCCTATATCATCAGAGATAAGGTTGTCATGGCCTAATACAGCCCTAAGGTATAGATTAGTAGTAAAATAGATTAAAAATCAAAATTTACTTGTTGTAGAACTTTAGAAGTTCTTGAACCCATGGATCATCCAGGTCTTCCTCCAAGAGCACATTGATTTGGTCATAAAAATCCTTGTAGCTGAATTTTTAGTCCAATCCACCTCTGCTCCACATATGTTAAGATGTCAGTGCAAAGCGGCCCTACAATAATAATGTTTACATGTAGTTAATTGATAGTCATTGCTTACCTGTACTGCAGCATATGAGATGGTCTGGGGAGTGACTCTTGTCATGCCATGTTTCTTGACATTGTGAGCACGTGTACTTTGTTTCATTGATCCTATTTTGCTGCGTGCACTTCTAGGGCCTGTAAATATGTGACAGTAGGTCCGATACAAATGTTTTATCATTAATATGTACAGCAAACCACAGAAGACACTTACACAAAGGAGATAATAGCCTTTAAGCAGCCCTTTGTCAATTGCATCAGGACTGAAATGTTCACCTGGGGTCTTGCCTTCATATAGAAATGCAGGTAAATTTTGGGCATTGACCTTGATTTGACCATCTTTCAGTTTTAGGTGTGTCCTTGAAGCACTGTAATATCAGCAAGTGTATAGAAAACACTTGAAAAAAAAAGTTAAAATATGACTCTTTGGGGTCTCTGATAAAATCTTCAAGATGTTTCACTGGGCAAAGAAACATAGCAAGCTGTGGATGATTAAATCCAAGCCCTCTGTGTCCTTTTTTCCCAACAAGAACTGGAGGCTCAAGTAGTTGGACTTTGGGCTTGAAAGGTACATTCATTGACATGTTAGCCCTCAAACGGGATGAGTCATCCCCACATGTATTTGTCATTTTTTTTTTTCATCTAAATAATAAAAATATGTGAATATATGCATCCAAGAAATCATTGATTTACTGTTTTCAAGATAAATTCAAGCTTCTCTGCATTTTTATTAATGAGGAGTTGAAAAATACCTGGAATGAGGTCCAGTATTTTGTGATAGTTTGCTAAAGCACGCTCTCTTTCCTTGTGGTCCCTGTATGAAATAGTATATATACATATTAGTAAACAACAGACCATCAACAGTTCATTCCACAGACACCTACATTTCTGTGGCAATGTTCTCAGCCATGGTTTGGTTTTCACCTTGACAACTTTTGGACAATATCCCAATGTGTATGGTGGCCTCAATGTCACAAAATAAGTCAATATTCCGAGGGATCCATCTTGCTGCTTTGATAAAAGGTTTGAGGGTGGGATCTTTGAATAGATCATACACATTTTTTCTCTAGAAAATAAAGTAGTATTGAGCTGAATTCATGCATATTGTAACAACCAAGAGTTAATTACTCTGGCACACAACTCAGACAAGCAAAAGAATAATGAGTGGGAGTGGTTACCCCTTAGGTAGGACCGAGTTAGTTGTGGGTAAACAACAGGAGGACTCGCTGAGGAGCCTCCTGGATCTATTGGGTATTTATACTACTACAGGGTATTTGTACTTATGTACTGTACAGTTGATGAAAGCAGTGGCTGATGATGTCAGAGGGTGCTGCCCGTGTGATCAGCTCCACTGCGTGAGAGATTTGTAGCTAAAATAAGAAAAAGGCAGCGTAGTGTGAGAAGATGGAGTTTGAACAAAAATGGAAAGTACCGCATGGCACAGTGTGTAAAAACTACAAAAGAAAGTTAAAGAGGAGAATGAAAATTAAAGGACCGAAAATTGTGTATTGTAACACATATAATGTTTACTTACTTTAATTTTCTGATTTTTTTTCTTGGTTCTTCTCTCTCCTTTCCATATTGAGAACACTTCTTGCCCGTACCCAAGTTTGAGTCAGTATCAGAATTTGAGGGGTCAAATGAGTCTGTATTGCTGTCTGAGCAGTCTGAAGACATAATGATAATTGAATGCGGAAGCAACAAAACTGTGATCTGCTTTCATGTGGTTGCTAATATCCAGGAGTTTAGATTATATATAAATTTCAGTTTCATAGTGCTGATCATACTGAATCTTGTAGTGTTGCAAGTATTGAAATTATCAGTTTTTAACTAATACATTACTTTAGCCAGTTATGCCTGCTTGCTTTGGCTGTGGGAAGCCATTTGACACACAAAAAAAGGTTAATTTATATGCTGGTCAATGTCAGGCAACAAAAAATGTTACCCAAACATTATTGACTGGAAGCATGCAAGAGATGAAGAGGAGAAAAAGGCTCACAAGAGGGCAAAAAAAGAGCAAATGAGGTTGAGGAGTGCTATGCAAGACAGTGATATGTATACACACCAGGTTAAAGAGGACTCCCTCAAGAGGAGGCTGCATGTGGAAGGAGAGCTGCAGCCATTTTAATCAAGAAACCCACTGTAGGCCTTGCACAAGACCGGACAGCACAAATAGTCCAATCCGGTCCAAAACAAAAGAAGCTCAACCTTACCACATACAAGTATCATGCATTAGGTGGCTATCCAAGTGCTATCAACAATTTGGTACCACTGATAGCTACTCAACGCAAATTGTATGACAGTTTATAAAAATTCCATTAATATTGCACTAAATTCAGGTCTTATAGGGCGAACTACAGCATAGGTGAGCTAAAAGAAGATTCGCAAGGACCAGCAAGTGTTACGAACTATGTCTCTTATGGACTTTATTTTCTTCTTTGAGTAGCCACATACCGCTACTCATTCTTATTCCCACACTAGTTACCTGTTACAGTTTCTCACCCGTCATTGTTTGTTCAACACAAACACCTACCCTAAAGTAGGACAGTATATATAGACACTTGTATTGTAGTAAACATCTCCAATACAATTGTACGCTTCAACAGTGCAACTTGGTATTCATCAGTAAAATCTTCTTCATCAGAATATGTCTCAAACCCGTTACCTACAGGCTTATCAGAAACTGCTTCATTGCCAGAAACCCCTCTTGTTACCAGGCTTGTACATTCCAAGCGTAACAGCAAGAACAACTTTGTTGGCCAGACAATGCAGCAGGATGCATGTGAAAGACTTATCAACAAAACCTCTCAGTGGCAGAAAGCAGCCCTCGCAAAAACCAGGCAAACCAGGCCGCATTGTCAGTGGTCTAATGAGGATGACCTACCATATACATCACCATCAGTCCATTACCACGCTCTATCAGAGTGAGATCATACTGGCCTTACAGCATGGTTCACAGATCATGTAGATGATCTAGGTACTAAGGTCATATTTTGAGCATATTTTTTGAGATTTATTATTAATTTCTTCCAGGACTTTTTACCTTAGCTTCAAAGCAGCTTGCTAGGCCAACTCCTGGGTCTAGAATACAATGGCAATGAGCACAATTTCTCTCATAAAGAACTCAACACTGTTCAGATACTCAAGGATACCATTTGCTGCCACAATGTTGTATGAATTAATTACACAACCTATGACTTGAGACAAAAGCAAGATTCCATCAGTCCCCAAACACATGCTGATGTAATGATTTTAGCCAGTTCAGACAACAATGATCCGGACAACACTCCCCATCCCTAGTGGTACGCACGGGTTATCAAGATTATGCATTTAAATGTGAGACACACTGGTGAGTATGCCAAGTATGGCTGGCACTTGACACTAGCATACGCACTGGATGGGCAGCAAAATGATTACACTGACTCGGTTTCATGGATAGCATGGAACCGGGTGCATTTGGGTCCTTGACCCCAACATTGTGATTTGGGGTGTCCACCTCATCCCAGCCTTTGTGTATGGTCTCACTAAAGACTACCTACCACCATCAATCACATGACAGCCCAAGGAAAATGGTAAAGATCGGGCCTTTTGTGATATTAACATGTAAGTATCTTATCATTTCTTTTATTTAGATAATTTTAGATAATAATAAACTACTTCTACTTTATTAGCTTCATTGATCACAATATGTTCATGCAGTATCAAGGCGATGGAGTCAGTCACAAGGCAACTAGAGGGTGGGACTCTTTCCTGCAGAAGGAGTCCCACCACCGAGCAAGGCACAAGGCTGGTGGGGACAAGCAGGATTTGGAATACAACATCCAGGGCAGTGAGGAAGATGTGTGTTGTCATATGAAGGACTTAGCTTCTATTGTTTGAGCCTCACGCACCACTGGTCCCAGCCACATCTCATTTGGTGGCTGGGAAAGTACTTACTACTTAGGACATCAGACTTTTCTGTACCTTAGAAACTTGGAGCTTGTACAGGAACAATTTTCCGAGCACTTTAGCGAGAAATTCCATTTTTCAATTTTCATGCTGGCATGCCACAACGCCACCCATTGGCACTCAGACCAACACCACCATCTACCTCACCATGCCCCAGACCCATCTCATGAAGAAGAAGCTATCTTCACAGTCAACAATTCAGGATCTCCATTCTAAGCACAAATGATTTTGGACACTCACTGAAAATGCAGCCTATTCTCCCCCAATCTGGCCCTGAAGGAGCTTATATCAGCTTTGCAATCAATAATCCCCCCCCCCAGCGGCCACAGATGCATCTGATACCCCATCAAGCAGGGCTATGTGGCCAGACAAGGACCAGGCCCTGCTCATAGATTATATTATAGAGAACTGGAAAGAAGTATGCCCAGGCCAAACTCTCCAGAAAGACTTTTGGAACAAGGTAGTAGCACATTTAGCGCCGCACCACATAGTAGGTGCACCCAAAACAAGGAAGCATTGCAGTGAAAAATGGGGAAGGGGGAGTCCAATGCACAATCTGAACACTTCCAAGGTAATGTGCCCATCATAATTTTTATCGCGTAGATCAAAACTACATATAAAAGCCTTAAAGGACTGATCAACCATGGATCCAATATACATCATGACTTGTCAACGGGTCTCACAATCACAGCAGAGAGCAAGACCCAGTGGAATGATTTTGTTAAGGTATGCAGACTACATAATGATCACCTGGGTGAGTTAACTTACACGGATGCTAGCAATATCCGCTGGTAGCTGCCCATGCTTTCCGTACACCTGAGGTCATAACAACAGGAGCAGCTGTTTCTGTCACCTTGGCTCCTGCTTCAACCACCATCATTGCACATCCGTCAGGCCAATCTGCCGGTTCAAATTTTACTGCACGTATAGCACCCAGAATACCATTGAGTACTCCATCTGGTAGCACTGCAGGGCCTGCTATACCATCCAATACCCCCAATGTTGTCGGAGACTGGCTTGGTGACCTCCCTTCACCCTCCTCTATTTTACCCCCTCCCTCCTCATCTGTACGGTCGGGCATGTCAGTTTCTTCGAAGGGGAGCAAGGGAAAACGTAGAGAGCATCAGCCAGACACTGTTTCAGTCAGTATAAGCCATGTTACTACAAGTACAGGCACTGGCCTGGACACCTCTAGCGCCATGTCCATCTCAAGCTGGACATCCAAAAATCCTCGCATCCTCGCCATGAATAAGCTCTGTGGGGTACTTAACAACCATCTCACAAACATTGTCCTCGCCATCTTGGATATACGTGATGCTGTGAAAAAAGAGCAGCAAGTGCTCAACCACACTAAGGAAATGTTGGATGCAAGCACTGCTGCCCCCATCTTATTGCCTCCTAATGTCCCCAGAACCAATCCTACATCTATCCCTAGCACCCGCTCTACTGCTGCACCTGCTGCACTTGCTACACCTACCATTGCAGAGATTGCGGACACAAATGCTACATGTCTGCAACTTGCACTTTGGCACCTGCACAAGCATGATCGCCACTTACCAATGCAGGTCCTCCTGCACATTGTTGAGCTGTTCAAGTCAGACACAACCATGGTGGAATTGTGTCTTGCAATGTCACAATGGGACAAACTTTGTTGTCTATGGTTAGAATCCTTCATTTATGGTGTATAGGACACCTTCTGTCCATTTGTTAATCTACATACCTTGTATTTGTAGCTCTGTAGTTTGAAATTAAATATGATCAATGTTTGCATAAAAATAGCTGATATAATGAATGAGCGCACAACACAATATACTAGTTGATGACAATGGAAACATTAATTTAACCCTCTGCACACCAATTCCGCCTGATAGTTGCCCCACATTTCTGCAGCTATCACGCCCCAGCAATTGCTAGCTTCAAGCCTGGCCACTTCAGTCCGAGGGCCTTCTGCTAAAATTCCCATTTGAGAACTGGGGTTGGGGTCCAAAAGGTCGCTCTCAAAGTCATCAATTTCACTCAGCTTGTGAATTTAAATGAAATTGTGGATGACACAGAGCGCAGGGGGAATAAAGGCCTGGATTGCCATGCTGTACTCTGGTGCAACATTGAGGATTCAAAAACAGTGTTTGAGCACGCCAAAGATCTGTTTGATGATGTTGCGGGCAGATACATGACGGAGATTGAAGAGCTCTTGAGGATTTTGAGGCCTAGAGAGAAAAACGAGTAAAATTGTAAGCAAACAAATAAAACACTTACCATTGGTTTGCACAAGCAAATTCAGATAAGTGATAGTGAACTCCACGATAGGGGACGAGGAGTTGGGCACAGGAGGGAAACCCTGCATCAGCAAGGTAATATTTCCCCACTGGCACCGCAAGATCATGCATGTGAGTATTGTGGAAGAGCCTTGCATCTGCAGCAAATCCCTCTCCATCAGGAAAAACCTAGTTTCTTTTTATAGCTATCATAGCTGTCATAGTGCTATATAGGGAAAATAGTAGCTATAGTATGCCTAGACAAGTCCCTATTATATAGCTCTATATAGCAGAGCTATTTTGAGATGTTTGCTATACCAGCTATAGTATCACTTCTGTGATATATACCATCTCTACTATGGCTGCTCTCATAGAATATAATAGATATAACAACCATCAATGGTTATTTCAGAATGGTCATATTATATATGTTTCACAAGCTTATCATAGTTTTCAGATTCTCTCAGTTTTGTTCACTATTATTATAGCATCCTAGCCAGAGATTATATGCAGAGAATCTATTATAGTATATTCCTGATACCATACAATGACATGCATATATCAACAATTATAAGGATGCTGAATCTTCAAGCGCTGCAAAATCAACCTCATCCTCCCAGTTGTCCTCTTGTGCATTCAAGTACTGTAAATCACACTGTTGACTGTGTGTAATGTAATGCTTATGAGTGTTGTTCTAAAATAATTTGGTAGGCTACTCACAGAATATCATTGTAAGTGTTTTTACAAAACTGCAAAAACCACCTAGGAGCTTTCCTTTGTAGCTCTTCTAACCTGGACAGATAATATAAATATTTGATAAAAACTTGTGAGTAAAGGTTGACGTAGAGTGGATATTGAATTTACCTGGGCCTGTAGACCTGTTCAGAGAAATTCAAGGTAGTGCGAACACCTTTTGCAAGTTCATGAAGACAGTTTTTGACCTGTGAAATATAGAGTGAGGAAAATTCATGTATATTACATTACAAACTCACAGCTGTAACAGCCAAGGCAATTAATGGCAAAGGTGAGTTTTTGAAATCACTTGGATAGAGGACGCCCTCCCCCTTCTTATGGAACCACTGAACCTGAACTAGTAGCTTGATGATACAATGTCCAAAAGGTTTTTGCTTGTCATATGAATAAGTCTGAAATACATAGTCATAAAATGTTTAAGAAGAGTACATATGAACACTTACAGAAACATCCAAACCACCAAACGTAAAGATACCTTTTCCATTACTCAACAACCACTCCACTATAGTATGTACTTCCTCTGGGAGCTTGTCTTTGAGGGCGTATTCTGAGAGAATGAGTATCCTAGCCTTTTGTTTGACTTCACCTCTAAGCTGAGCTGCAGCCGTCCACACCTGTTTAAAATTTTGATATTAGTAATATTGGAAGCATTGTTCTCACTCACATAATCAATGATTCTACTTTTCTTCTGCTCGTTCCTTGCATTCTCCAAATCTACTATGGTAGTCTTGAATAGTGAAGAAGAACTTGCAACTTTGATGATTGCATTCCAAACAAGTTCATCTCGTTCATCAGTACCTGGGAAGCCTTTCACAGTAGAAGGAATGAGTGGCTGGGCCAGCCGCTCATGATGTAAGTAAATTTTAGGTTGAAGTCACAGCAAGTGAGAACGTTCTGAGACACGCCAGCCTGGCGTGTCTCAGAATGTTGACGGGGGTAGTAGTACTACCCTCGTCAACAGGCATATCAACCTGCACTTCCTCCCTGTCCAAGCCATCTATTTCAAGTCTTCCCAAGCCTTGGTATCCGCCAGAATATTCACTTGAGGAATCACTAGAGTTGTTGATACGGTTATCGTCCATGGGGCTGTCATCCATTCTTGCGCACCACACGTTTACTACCTCCCATCCTTGACTGCTCTATGATTCCATCTCCACCCAATGGGTGGTGTTGCAGCATGCCGGCATGAAAATCAAAAAACGGAATTTCTCGCTAAAGCGCTTAGAAAATTGTTCCTGTACAAGCTCCAAGTTGGACTTGACGCTTTCTTAACACCTCAGTCTTTATATCACAAGGCTGAGGTAAGTTTGAACTCTTTTACATTTACAATCATAGTTTTACAGAAGTAATTACCTAGTATTTATTGTATCAGGTACTAAAACATCAATGTGAACGAGGATAAAGAAGATGAGAGGGATAAGGATGAAGAGGTGGAAGGTGAGGATGCTGATGAGAGCATATCAGAGTTTTTTGATGAGGAGGGGCTCGAAGACGAAGACATACTGGATGAAGAGGGTTTCGCACCGCTTTAGGATGTCGCAAAAATCAGTTTTACCATATATAGGCTTTTTGCAGCCTTTTGCACCTTTTCATGCATTTTTGTACTCTGGCACAACTAAATATGGCCAGATTGGGTCAAATAAGGATTCCATCAGGCCTGAAAATGTGCAAAAGGCCGCGACATGGTCATACTAAAACCGATTTTTGCAACACACACAAGGCACAATGTTGTTCTCTCGAGCAGTGTTTTTGTCCTAGAGCTCCATTTTTTGTGTTTTGTGTTTTGTATATCCAAGTTCACATATGTATTACAGTGTAATATGTTGCTATCTAAGTATTTATATTTCAATATACACCAACTTAGCTGTAAATCTACAGAAAGCACGACATGGATTCAAGAAGTGTGCTACTACTCTGACGCTGAGCTCACCAGTCGTCTGCAATGACAACGACTCGATCAACACCGTTTCAACACTTTTGCTGATGAAATTGTGTCGTTTCCGAGAGTGAAGTCCGAGGCTTAGTAAAGTCTCTCTGGTATTGAACGCTGCTTTGAGTCGGACAAAGGAATGTTACGCATGGCGAGGAAGGAATAACGAAAATTTGAATAGCATGGTGATGGTGCAGGGAACCAGTGAGTTGTCAATGACCATAATTTTAAGTTGTGCGTTTTACTATCAACTATTACGAGGTCCAGCCCGTGGCTCTGCCACTGGTGCAATGTTTTTGTGATATAATAAATAATAATAATAATAATATCACTGTTAAGTGATCAAAATGTGAAGTAAACTTATGCTGTCTGTAATATATGTTAAGTCTTTGAATCCTATGATGCATGTTTGACTTGCAGTTCTGTCGTTGAATGTCCTTATAAGCCTGCCCTAAACTTGTGCACAGTATACTGAATTCAAGTAGATAGTTCATTGAACCTTTACAAACATCAACATATATTGTAACATAAAAAATCTATGGTATTACATTGATAAATTGATGAGAAATAAAAAAAGAGACTCCAGAAATGGTAAAGGATGAAAATATGATCTGAGAATAAAACACTTTAGTAAAAAGGGTGAGAATGTTAGTTTTGGTGATTCTGCACCTTTGTGCTAACTATATATTTTCATTCCTTTCTCTATCTATTCTTCTATCATTCACTATTGATTGTGTTCTCTATTATTTCGCCTTTGTGGCTGCTTTGTTTACCTTTGTTTACAAAACTTCGGACAGTACTGCAGAGTCCAATGCTTCCTATTCTCTAGTTACTCATATTGGACTCTAGGTACTGTATACCTGTCATACTCTCTAATAATACAGTTACTCACATTGGACTCTAGTTCCAGTCCCTGATTGCTCTCAGCAAGTGGCTAGACACTTCCTTCAAGCTTTGTTCTTAATAGAGAATTGGGGAAAAATCTACTTGCCAGTCACGGATAAAGCCAGTCAGAATTTCGGGATACACCACATTGATGGTACATCTGTCATTTGAACCATGTGGAAATAGCACTTTTATTCTCTCTCCTGAAGTGCAGTGAGGCAATGCAACGTAAAGTTGCCCATGTGAAAACACTGGAACACGTAAATCCAGCCCAACCTGTGTCACTGATTGACCTTGAGACTTGTTGATGGTCATGGCAAAGGCAACACGGACAGGGAATTGACAACGTGATAGCTTGATGGGCAATTCTTCTGATGAAGGTTCCAATGTGAGGCATGGAATAAAAGCTATTTTTCCTGCATGTTTTCCTCCCAAGATACGGCACTTCAATACTCTTCTCTTCATCTCTATCAAAATCATGCGTGTTCTATTACAGAGTCCATTTAGGGGATCAATATTGCGGAGGAGCATAATTGGACATCCAGCTTTAAGTTTGAGGTGCGCTTCAGGAAGGCCAGATACTTGCAAGGAGTTCAAGAATTCCACAGGATAATGTTCATGCCCCTCTCCAACCACTTTATCAATTGACAGAGCTACTAACTCTTCTCCAGGGAATTTTGTGAGGATTGCTGAATTAAGGTTGCTAACGGCATCATTTTTTGCGGAGAGGATGGTGCGGTGGAGGAAATAATGGTCATCTTTGTCTCCATTTGCAATTCCAGGATAGGTAGTGTCGACTAATGAGTCTATGGTGTTTTCTGGCATAAGCATGTTGGCGGGAAGCTCAATAGTTTCATCTCCTGCAATTCCACGACCACCACCAACATCCAGGAGCCAGCTAGCAAAGGCTTCACTTTCTGGAGTACGGTCCAGGCGCATGTTCTGTGTGAGATAGCAGACATGGATATTTGTCCACAGTCGTGACCTTCTAAGAGAGGCAGAAATGATGTGTTGCCTTAACCCTCTTGGAACAACAGGTGTTGTTTGGCGGAAGTCCCCTCCAAAGACCATTGTAATGCCTCCAAATGGAAGTTGATTATCCAAAATGTCCCGCAATGTACGATCTAATGCTTTAATCCCATGACAGTGTTGCATTGGTGCTTCATCCCAGACAATAACTCCGGTATGTCTCAATACCTCATGGAGGTCAGAGTTTTTTGGAATCCTGCATGTGGATGTTTCATGTACAGGAATAGGGATTCAATCTCAGAGGATGCTACACATAGAGCAACATTATGATTATCTCTTGCTCAAGCAGCAGCGGCAATCGTATTACAGAGATATGTTTTTCCCTTACCCTTACCTTCAGCACTGTGAATAAAGCAAGTTATTCCCCAATTATGATAGATTGACTGTATAATACAGTAAAGTGATCAAATTTTATTTAGTCAGAAGTCAGTGAACTTGTGCTGTCTGTCCTTATAAACGTGAGAATTTTCAATGTGGCTGCAATTTTCACTGCACTCGTTACTACTGCACTACCTTCCCTCTACTGCTAACCGAAAACCACGCGAGCGAAACTAAGCGAAAAAACGTGCTCCCACGTGTGCCGCACGCGACTTTTGGGACCACCGTCCCCTTCGTTATAGATATAGTACTAGTAGTGGGCTCAGACCGCAACACACATTCCATCTACAGGCACCCCATCTACGGACACCTCAGCGTCAAAGTGACCTTACTAGGCCTACACCTTGGTTATTTATTTCTTTTAGTGCCCCAGAACTTAAGAAGACCTGATCATGTGGCCAGATAGCCCTATGCCGGTACGACTTACTACTGATATGGCACTGCAGAGGTATAACGCGCCAGCACCGCCCCAAATACTTGTAACTGGCGCCCTCTGATGTTCTCTTGGACTTGATGCATTCCTTGCGTTCAACTTACCCACGATTATTGCTTGGACTTCGTCGCCCATCATCCTGCGCTCTAGCTGCCGTTCTACCATGAGTGTGTCTAAAGCCCAGCTCTTAGCCATTGCCAGTGTTCTGTTTGTGTTCTCCGCGTACACTATAAGTCCAGCCAATGGCCTGACTCAGGATCGTGGCCATATCTCAACTCGACGTACCGTTCTCGATGTGACCACGAACGTTACATGTTCTTCGGAGTACTCGTGGATGAACAACGATGAAGGGCAATCGCCATGTCTGGTGGTTGGTTATGTCCAGGCAGCTTGCGCAGAGGATTGCAAGTGCTTTTTCATTCATTGGTGATAATTCTCTCTGACTATAATCGTTCAGCTTGGTCCATAACCCCTTTGCTGAGCGGACACCACTATGATCAGCCTAATGTAACAACTGGTACAATAAACCCTTGCTCTTGGTTAGTTCAAATTCGTGAAGCTGAGCATTAGACTGACAATTTTTTGCATTCAGCTCTTGGTCGTCCTATAACCTATATAGCGCCTGCACAGTATGTCAGGGTTCATCTGGGTCTGTTCTGGTGTTCGTATTAAGGAACTTGCTTCAAGTTATCTACGTTTAAATATATCTTTATAGGTGGGGTACCTACAGTGCCGAGTGCCCTTCATCTGACACGAGCTCGTACGTCTTCTTCTTTCCCTCGCTCTTTTACACTGAAAACTCAACCATGCTATGTATGGAACAGGTATTTCCCGTCTGGATATACGATATCCACCAACACTTCCATACCTTATTGGGCTAGCATGAACCGTGAGCACTGAGATTTCCAAGGTCGAAGGAAGTATTCTGATTGTCATCGATATATTAGCCAGTGACTGGACCAACGTTATTTTCAACACAAGCCAAGCCCAAACACTAGCCAACGAACGTAAGCTTCCAGTATAATGTCGATGTATCACAGCATGATGACGGAATATTGAAACTCCAATACTATAGACAAAGCTGACCTCACACCTGGAACTTCGAACACTTCGAGCAAATCATCAATAGTTGGCCCAGTTGTCGGCGGCGTTGTCGGTGGCGTCGCTGCCCTCGTGATTGTTGGCATCATTGCCTTCATATTGTACAAGCGGAAAAAGGATACAACACAGCTTATGTCACCAGTCGACCTTGATGGCGACGAAAACATGGCGCCTCGGGGTACGACGGGGCTAGCAGCAGTAAAAGCACACATGTCACACGCCCACTCGCCTTCAGACTCGTCGAGCTATTCCTACTTGATGACAACGCCTGCCATGCAGTTGCAGGAGGTGGGTCCACGATATGCATCACCCGGAGGGATTTCTTCAGTTGCGATGACACCAACGCTGTATACCGGTAGCATGGTTTCTCGGCCCAATGTACCTATGGTCTGATAGGGACTGGAGATTGACTTGTAGATTATTTTGCACATTATGTAAAGTTGGGATTCCTTGCGTTTGATTCTTCTCGATGCCCTTTATGCATGTTGACACACATTCAATACATAGTAGGCGTCTGACCAACATTTGCTAGCCGAACTCCTAAAAGGGCGTCAGAAAGAAAGAATTTGCAAAAGACCACTCTATTTCGGTTACCGTTTCACACGTGTTTGCATACCTGGATGATAGCGGTGATAAGATGTGGACTAACACTGTAGCAGTGCAGTGAATGGTTTTTTTCTGGTCAGTCACAACTTGGACCAGATTCGTATTCCTGGGTCAAATATACCGCTTGGGGTTTCCGATCGAGCTCGTTGAACGCGTCAGTAAGCACGCCTAAGTGTTCCAATTCGCGCGAGGCTTACAGTCAATCGGGTTTTCTGGTCAGTCACGACTCCTGATTCGTATTCCCGGCTCAAATATACCGCTTAGGGTTCCTGATCAAGTCCAGCGCGTCAGTAAGCACGCCTAAGTATCCCAATTCGCGTGAGGCTTACACTCCAACTTGAAGATCCGTCCCCGAATCAGTGACGGTCCTGTCGCCGGAAATCCTGTCTTCTTGAAGACAAGGCTGCATCATACGCTAAATTGCAGTGATAAGCAGTTCCCCGCCATTCATGTTATCTGGTCAATCAACGACCTGCCAACAACTAGTGCCGTAAACGCGCTGTATCTGTGCGGCACAAGTGGAGTTGTGCCAGAAATGGCGAGCCGATGTTCGACTTTGAAGCATGAAGACCCGAAGCTTGAAGGCTGAAAGTGCTAGCAGCTATAAATTTGCCATGTCTTGCATACGCGAGCGAGCGACGTGCCAGTGCGCAGTGTGACATATATGACCTGGCCAAATGATCGTGTGCCGAGGGCTGGCTGAATCTGACATTCTCTGGACATGCTTTCGGCTGAAAGAAAGTAAATATACTAATACCGTGACGAGCCTGCAGTATTAGCACTTAGGTACGACATTGAGGGACTAACCTAGGACGGAGTGCTACGGCTCATGGTCCGCATCGTAGTATATACTTGGTACATACTAATGCGGAATCAAGGCCACGAGAAGTTGAAACCTGGGTGTCAGTGGGTAAGTTTCTTAGTGATTATTGCTCAGGGGCCAGCTAGCTTAAATGCACTAATAATTGCCTTTTGACCGCTTAATCGCAATGCTTGATCACCGTCGTGTTATCTGAGGAGTAACAGAAGGTTAATACGAGGTACACAGAGCTGCTCTGAGCAGTTTCTGTGTTCGGATATTCCCTTAGGTGGCTGTGAGTGGTCTGGCAAAATCCTGAATATGGAATAGAAGGCCGTGGTGGCCTATTCAGGATTTTGCCAGTGAGCAAGTGTCCGAGTTGGCGATCTGGATTTGATCTTTGCCTCATGCCACAGCCACTGACCGCCGCTTTCTGCTTCGCTGTCTTTACCCATGGGCCAATTCTGTCTTTTGGACCACAAAATTTCGTGCTGCTATCATATAAAATGTCTACCAGTAGTTTACTTTGTCAGTCTCTTCGTCGCTCGCCTCTTCACCCTGCTACCATAACCTGTCAGAAGCACGACTATCACCTGTAAGACTCTTCTGCCACCATTAATCACCCATGTCAAGCAACCGAATGCTTGATGTTTTGAAGAAGAGGACTTCGGTATGTTTCTATGATGCTATCTATCTTTTGTACTCGACCTTTCTTTCCAGTCCTCTTTTGATGGTAGACTTGGCACCAACTATGTTCCTACTGCCGCACAAACTAAGGAAATCAAAGCTCACATAGAGGAGTCAAAGGTGGCGCTCTCTACTATGAGGACCACCATGACACGCCTTAGGTGCATGCTGGACCAGCTCGAAAGCAATGAAGCAGAAACACAAAAATACGTCGAGGACTGTGAGGCTCTAATCACGCTTGCCAGACGTATGCCACCTGAGATCGTGTCCCACATATTCGAATACTGCATACCTCCTGAAGGATCTCGACCATCTGTGTCAGAAGCTCCACTGCTGCTCAGTAGGATATGTAGGCATTGGCAAGAGGTCGCTCTCGCGACACCTCAACTCTGGTCCGCGATCAGACTTCATCTTCCTGCAAATATATTTGAATGGGATACGGCTTTGTTCAGGCATGTCCAGGCCTTGCAGTTCTGGCTCGATCACTCGGGCAATCTTCCCCTGGAACTGGCCATCTCTCACGACACACACCCTTCTATCCTCATAAATCATTTCGATCAAGAAAGATTCTTGTTTACCTCTGTGGCATACCAGCTGCTCTTTGATCACATCCAATCTAATTGCCATCGCCTACTTACTTTATCTGTTACTATGCCTATCTATTTCTTCCATCACTTTAGTCTAATTTGTGGCCAGCCACTCCCTGTGCTAGAGGAGGTTAGCCTTCGTCCGAGCGACATACCCCTCCAGTCTGGCCATTTGCCCATCATCAACTTCTGCAACGCTGATCGTTTACGTTCGTTATCCACCACCATTCCTTTCCATCGGATTGGTGACTTTCACGTCCCGTGGCATCAGCTTACTCGGTTACGACTGAAAGAAGAGCATCCCACCCAGTTCTCGCTATCCCTAAACGACTACTTCTCAATACTTCAACATTGTACCCATCTCGAAGTATGCACCCTCCACATCTTCGATGGTCTATTCCGTAGACCGACATCTCCCCTGGTCATCCCATCACTGCAGGACTTCCAACTGCACGTAGTGATGTTTTTCCAGTCACGCGATTCTCGGTTGGGGGACTTTTTAAGCTCCCTCGTTCTTCCTTGCCTTCAGCGGCTTCACATCAGCTGTGCGGTCATACCAAGGCCGGTCCAAGTACCGCCTGGAACATATCAACTCGAACTTACCAGCTTCCTCCTCCGAACTCGTCGCCAGCTCCAAGCTCTCACGCTAAAAGACGTGCCTATCACATCCAGTCAGATATTCGCGTGTTGTTCGATCTCGCCCCAGGTCACAAACTTAAAGCTTCTCCCCATGTATCCTTTAAAAATAGATAGCGAGATCATACAAGCGTTGACACCTGTAGACGGCATACCGGCTCTATGTCCAAAGCTTAAGGCACTCGAACTTGGGTTTGGTTCTCTGTTCGAGAGCGATCCACTGCTCGAAATGGTTTCTGCGCGGAACGGACGATTACCTTCTGACGAGAGTGGAGTCCCCGCGCTGGATAGCGTGGCCATTGTGCTCTACAGGAACCATTTTCCCTCACCTCCGCCCGACACTAAGACCCGCATGACTAGATATAAATCACGTCTTCAGTATGCACTCACAAACGGAACGGCAGACGTCATATGGGGCTAGCACCCGACTACTCAAGCTTCACAAGTAGCATTCGTCGCCGAGCTGGATCTGTGCATTCGGATGGTAGTCGTACTTTTTGTTTTACTCAGTCCCAAGATTCTACTTATATCTATATACTTCTGGGTGCAATGTTCAGTCCTGTGTTTTGATGTATAGTGCCCATACATATTGAGACGAATTCACGAGACTGAATCTACGAGGTCTCAACACAACATATATATTGGCAGGGTGAAAATATGATCTTGAATGATATCAAGCGTGTGTTCAGATTGGACCATCATATCGAACTAAGGTTTTGCAGTCTTTTCATTTTGGAACTGTAGAGGCGTTGTCCCAAACATGAACAAAACGCACGTAACTAAAATGACCATGATGCGATCGATTGCGAAACTTTCCCGAGGGCATCGCTGAACCAGGAACAAGCTAGACCTTTCAGTCAAACTTTGCGCTGACGAAGAAAGGGGGGCATTGGACTTCTTTATGCAACCAGAAGAGATTGTTGCTAAGATCCGACCGTAAGGTGTGCGATGCCTGTTATCCCCGTGGAAGGGAGAGGAAAGGGTGACAGGGTGCTGGTATCGTTCTGTATGTATCCCCGAGGACAGCGAGGCGTAGATTGGCAGCTGATTTATGTCAATGATCTGATTGGGCATGTATCGTTATCCCACAGGCCCACATGCACGAGTACTTACAGCCGGATCGAAGAGAGCCAGTCAGATCTGTGACAACGACAATGACCTACGGGAGCTCTTCGAAAATTGTCATGGGGCGGCTATATATTACACCATTGCAGCACAGCAGTCGTGATCATGCGGCAATAATGCTTCTGCTCCTGACGTTCCTACGCATGAGCAGAGTTGTTCAACGTTAAACCATCAACCTGTTGCCTTTTAGAGTTTATTGTTTGGAACACCTAGCACACACTCTGGCTCGTCCGGTTTTGTCTTAATGAGCGGAACCCACGCTCGCTTCACGATTAAAAAAGGTTATGAACGTGCTGCTGCCAGTCTAGGTACTGTGAATTGAAGCTCGGCAAAGAAGTTGAGAAGTCTTATCTTCTCTTCCGAGTCACTTACACGAGTACTGTGGGGGTCGGGCGCTAATCTTTTAGGTCTTGTGGGGCGATTCTGAAGCTAGGAAGCTCTTATCTAGTAGATAGAGTGCACAAACCTTTTTTAGGTATCGGTGAATCAAAATACCAGAACTTCTCATAAGAGGCTGGTGCACAGTCCGGGTCATATGCGGCAGGCAAATGTGGAGGGTGCAAACTTTGTGTAAATATGATTCAGACGTTTGATCTGGTAAACTGTCGATGAGCCACTTACCAAGTAAATTCGATTGGCCATGGTGCATTCATAAATTGAATTGCAGCCATACAACGCATATTGTATGAACACATGTGAACACTATGTTAACTCTTGCTGCGCTCACTCCAAATGTACCTGTAGGCCGGCTGTGGAAGATGTGTAATAAATCTGATTGCGCCGTTCTTCGAAATGCTGACTTGACCAGACCTTCCAACGATCTGCGACTCGGTGTTGGACTGGGAAAGCTTGATGGCCTTACCTCTTTTTTATGTACCCGCACTCTTCGGAACTGTGTGTAAAGGGTCCACTGGTTCAGAGCGGCGATTTCTGGCCAATCGGTAATGACCATGCGGACTATCCTACGTTACTATACTTACTTGATTCTGTCGGGAGCTTGAAGAGAGCCGAGGATTCAAGGAGCGCGCTGAGGATCTAGATATTGTCAGGGTCGTAAGAAAAGCGCTGAGTTAGGGTGCCTCACCAATCCTAATATCCAATGTGTACTATTTCCAATAGTCGTGCTCAGGTTGCTCGCATTCTGGAAAAACTTTTTCAAGAGTTGTCTTTTCAGCGCCTGAATGGGCATCTGTAACAGAGTCTGGAGGCTGGGACTCACCTATGTGGCACCACAGTCAATATTGAGACATATGATCTAGTCTCTTTTACCTAGCCATTTCAATTCTGGGTTTTTAACTCCATAGGTCTAACCTGAAAAGTTGTGCCAGTAATGCCAGTTCCGCGGCAATAGCTGAGCTTGAAAAAACCGCTGATAGTTCGTTCACTGATCCCGAAGGGGCAAGATTAGACACAAGGAATCAGCGACCTTGACTGGGAATAAGGGAGAATGTGGTCTCTCCCAGATAGACCAGTAAGGAAGTAATTATGAAGAACTAAAAGGCATCGTCTCAGGAGCAAGGCATAATTACTCCGTTTCGTATCTGGTCATTTTGCCTCATGTTATTCCCACAAAATCACAGGTTATCGTTATCCACCTGTTTCTCTTCTCGTCAGTACCTTATCAATAAAACTATCATGATTTTCTAGGATACAGATCGGCCATTTTTCTATAAATCCGTTCATCCTCTCTGGTACTCTTGTCTCGCAACTCACCAGTCATTTCAAGCCATCGGTTACCAGTAACAATTCACGCAAGTCTCTTACTGTCTCATTTTCACTATGTCCAGCCAGAAAATGCTTGACGTTCCAAATCCAAAGGACTGGAAATCAGTGCGTACATAGGACCTGGTGTCTTGGGCATAGTACATTTAATCTGACTTATATTTTATAGAGTTCCATCAAGGATAAACTCGGTACCAACTATGTTCCTTCTGTCTCGCAAGTTAAAGACATCAAGGCTCAAATAGCAGAGTCTAGGGTCTCATTATCTGCCAAAAGAGCTGCTATAGCACGTCATCGGAAGATGCTGAAACAACTCGAAAGCGAAGAAGCGGATGCCAGGAAATACGTCGAAGATTGCGAGGCCCTTCTTACGCCTGCTAGACGTATGCCGCCCGAGGTCATTACCAATATCTTTAAATATTGCCTTCCCTCGGAAGGATCTCGGCCATCGACCTCTGACGCTCCACTCCTACTTAGTAGGATATGTAGTCATTGGCGACAAGTAGTTCTCTCGACACCACATCTCTGGTCCGCCCTTAATCTTCACCTTCCTGCAAGAATACGTGACTGGGATGCGACCTTGGTCTCCCATGTCGCAGCCCTATCATTCTGGCTGGATCACTTGGGCTCTCATCCTCTGAAACTAAGCATCGCTCACGATGCACATCCATCGATTTCCATAAGCACCACAGAGCAAGAAACATTTATGCTTTCTTCAGTACCATACAAGATGCTTTCCGCTTGCATCGAATCTAGTTGTCATCGCCTCCTCACTCTATCCGTCATAATGCCCGCAAGTTTCTTCAGTCTCTTTAGGCAACTAGCTGTACAGCCACTTCCCAGACTAGAAGAAATCAGCCTTCATCCGACCGACCGATCGCTTTCGCCTGGTCATTTGCTCCTCATCAACTTCTGCAACGCCGATCGTTTATATTCATTGTCTACCAGCATACCTCTGTATCGCATTGCTGACATTAACGTACCATGGCATCAACTCACTCGATTACGCCTACAAGATCATTACCCAGATCAATCTTCACTTTCTCTAAACGACTATTTTTCCATCCTTCAGCATTGTACCCAGGTTGAACAGTGCGTCCTTAGAGTCTTCGACGGTTTGTTCCACAGACCACAAGCGCTCCTGGTTATTCCGTCATTGTTAGATTTCCGTCTCAGCGTAGTGATGTTTACTCAGTCACCTGATTCTCGTCTCGCACATTTCCTTAGCACACTCGTATTTCCCCACCTCCAGCGGCTTCATATAGGCTGCAATATTATCCCAAGGCCACTTCACATACCTCCTGGTTTATGTCTACTCGAACTTTCCCCCTTCCTCCTTCGAACTCGTCGCCAACTTCAATCTCTAACGCTTGAATACATGAACGTTTCCTCCAGCCAGATATTCGCATGCTGTTCGATCTTGCCACAGCTCACGTACATGAAATTTCTCTCCAGTATTGCTTTAAGGACGGATGACGAGATTATCCAGGCTTTGACACCTGTAGACGGTATCCCGGTCATCTGTCCTAAACTCAAGGCACTTGAAGTCGGGTTTGGGGATCCATTCGAGAGCGTACCGTTGTTAGAGATGATCTCTGCGCGTAGGCGACAAAGTTCTGATCAAGAAGCTGCAGTTGTTGCATTGGAGAGCTTGACGATTGTGCTATACAGAAGCTGTTTTGTTAGGGTGATGCCGTCTGATGCAGGCATGGAGACTCGCATGACACGGTATAAATCTCGTCTTCGAATGGCGCTCGCAGGTGGGACGGCAGACATTATCTGGAATCATATCTAACTAGGAAGCATTTGCTTTTATGGATATCATATAGAATTAACTATCAGGTCCCATGCTATCTGCGCTGCCTTTTGTATCAAGCGATGGTGAAAATGTACGGCAACTCACTGGAATTCCATAAACATTCTACGCTGAAGCGTTGAGGCCTAAATTAAAGTATAGCATATAAATAGCAGAGGGTGAAACAAAAAATTGGCGGGACCACCACCGGCAGTGGTTTATATTACCTACCAAGTTGGGCGGTGTCATTTTTGGTGCGTAGTTCCTGGTATATAGCGCTCGTGTTCCATCAGACTGTATGTACTAACAACACTGCATCCATGCTGAGGAAAACTATCATCTGTCACATGTCTTCATTTCCCTAGTAATGTCCGAGTCCTCGGCGTTACTCCAGGACTTTCAACCTTTCGACTGTACTCGCTTATTCTCGCTTTATGCTGTTTAGAATATAAATAAGTGGAGTGTACTTGGACCGCATGAGTGAGGGACTTTTGCGTTGCAGCGGCAGTGTTTAGAAGAGGGTGTGTTATGCAAGCCAGTATCATACATAGATAGAATTTTAAAGTTCGATAAGATTCGACTTGGAAAATATTTGTAGTTTGAAAAATGAGTCAGAGCCGCCTCTGTAAATGAGAACTGGTAAGATGGGTCGGTAAGATGGAGCTGCGAGGGCTAGACTCAGACACCAACTGAGGTGAAAGAATTCAGCCAGAATCTGTTGAGTAGGTATTTCTATGCCAGCCGAAAAGGGTAGTAAGTGATAAGAGACAGTCTCGCGCGATGGAAGTTAGGGACAGGTATCAGTGTCGAATTCTCCCTAACCAACATCAGACTGGAGAATAAGCAGGAGGAGGATTGGTGGGAAGATATATCACAGTCGGATTAGAAAGAACCATTTGGACTTGGGGTGGTATCAAAGATAATCGGGGGGTAGGTTGATCATGGGAAAAAGAGGCTCTGAATAAGCCAGGAAACTGATATAGAGCAGGCGACGACGATAATGGGCGCAAGGGAACATACGCTGGTGGCGGCGTCGGCGGTACAGAGGGCTGATGGTGAACCCACGGTTGTGCAGATATATGATGTGGTAAACGCATAATATACAGTCCACGAATTATTCCACTAATCCCTGGAAGGATAGGCTGACTTGCATCGTTCGACCGTGAGTGCCTCAAGCCCCACCATTTCTTGATGGAAATAATGACAGCAAAAATGCTCAAAGTAGCGATGACTATCCCTACAGCAAATATTTTTAATATGATTTGAGTACCGTAGATTTACTTACCGATGGCAACTACACTTGTGTTTAGTCTGGGACCTGGACTGGCTCGTTCAATAAATCTGAAGATTTACAGCAGTGAGCTCCATCAGATGCAAAGCATGAAACGGGACACTTACTGAAGCTGCACATATATGCTCGAATCATCTGCCCCAAGCACAAGTTGTGGGAATATTAGCCCATAGACGATGGGATAGATAGCGTAGAAATCTTCACAGAATGAAAGCCGGTGATTCATCAGCTTGTACACAAACCGACGAGAAGGCTTTTGTGAAAATGGAAATGGAGGTGAGTACGGCTCACCAGGTTTATCATTATTCCAAAGCCATAGAGTACTCCTCGTGAATGCTGAGTGGATAAAACGCGGATACAGCCAGGACTTCAGAATTAAAAACAGCACTTTGAAAGTTCGTGAAAAATCGGGTCAACAGTATACAACACAGACACGGATATATTGCTTTCATGGAGCCATAGAAATCATTCACAGGTTTATCTCTGTGAAGTGGACAGCTTTCTGCCGTTACACAGTGTCGTGCCCAGATTATGAAGAATGCACTGCACACGTATTGCGCCCGACTCGGAAGATTGCCCCTGGAGCTCTTCAATATGGTTCCCCCCCAAACATCGCTTGAAAAATTCTGTAAGGTTTCAGGTGAAGAGCCTACAGCAATGTATCAATTTACCTGGAGAGCCAGCCGAGAAAGATCGCACGTTGAAAGGATCTCGTTATGCCAATAACCTCGTAACAGCTCGTAACGCACATTTGCCGAATGCCGATGAACACGGGTAGTGATCTCAAAGAGGACTCTCTAACTCCTTATAGAGGAGTCATTATCATGTTTTCATGACATTCATGCTTGTCGAACTCAGAGTCGTGGAACTTGGACCACCAAAAGCTGTACTTGATCATAATATTGAGCGCTAACTCGAAGCAGCGTGCATGATACCGATGCCCTAGGCGAACACGAGACTCCTAAAATAGATTATACGAGTATCCAAATGTACATGTACTGCTGCAAATAATTTACGAACCAAACACCCCATAGACGAGGCCTTCCTTCCAAGTGCTGCCGACTCCTTCCATGACATCGCTTCCAACCACCTTTCTCTGCACAACGACGCTCGGTACTATCGAGTAACTCCTTAATCTTCCGCTCTCCACCAGCCAAGAAATTGCCTGATCCAGTGCTCGAGAATATGCAAAGGGAGGATAACGAAGGTGAAGGAGGAGGCGGCGAGCACCTGAGCGTGATAGCGCGTACGCGTGAGTGCATTTAGGTGCGAAGGAGTTGTGGAGACGCGTTACGCGATCGGTCTGGGGATATTTTACAGCGTTGGTAGTATTAACCGAGAGACGAAAACTGGGCAAAGGCAAAGGGGGATAAAATGATTCGTTCGACCAGCAATGTCCTGATGAGTCCTGCCAGTTAGTACAAATGCATTATCTCAGACCCTATCCTTTGTTACAGAAAGTGGGATAAGACCGTGCAAGCAAATTGCAATAGCAAAAAATTCAACCTGAAGATATCACACACACCTAGAAATACGATGTCCCATCCTGGAGGTAGCGCGTCCCAAACTCCCCTCAAACGTACTCGGATGTCCCTTTCCATGTCAATATCGTCTTCCAATATGATGGCTACATCGTCGTCCTTGGTATTTGCCTGGTCGGTGAACTTCCTGATGGCAGAGACATGGGAATACCAGCAGGCCACCTTCGGAGCAGAGAGGACCATATGTGGATGAATCGACTCCGAGAACGGTAAGACCAAGTAGTCCTCAGTCGCACAGGTAAGGTTCCAGCCGAGAGTAGAGAATTTAGACTGTGATTTTACGGAGGTACCTGATTTCCTGTCAACCGGACGTGATCTTGATTTGGGCGATTCTGTCCACAGGTCCGATCCGGATTTATCCAAAGGCTCAGGTGACAAGGACAATGCATTTATTTCGGGAGGCCAGCGGAATATAACAGGTGATGCAAGGGATGCGGCCCTTTTGCGCTGCATCCTGACATGGTTCATAATTATGTCAACCAAAGGGCCTTCGCGGTGTACAGCGTCAACATTGGTCCATTCGAGTTGCATTGTAGAACGCAGCACATCCATTTGAGCACGCCTATCTTGACGTCCAGGAAGAGATATTATATATATCTGAGAGGCAATACCGAGCGAGGAAAAAGACCTAATAGTCGTGGTATCTTGATAAGCGTCCAAGTCCGATCCGGAGACGCTTGCGAACAACAATGGCTTTGCTTTCATATGTGGAATTCGATCAAAGGAAGGACATGGTGATACAAATGCGGGAGATATCCGATATGTTGGAAATATGACAAGAACCATGGACCACAAAGCTAGAATAATACCAGATGCCAGAAAAATATACCTGGTCGATCCAAAAGCCCGCCTTATCATGTTGATCCTTTGAATCTTTCCTCCTCAGGTAATACCAAAGATAAGAACAAATAGCAAACAGCGTTAGCGAGTCACGGTTGATAGTGGTGGTAAACTGTAGAAAAGGTGTCAGTTCATATCATTGAACTGTTCTGCGGACATCACGTGATTGATTTGGAACTTCGATCTCACTTTATGTTGTAGTCCTTTGGCTGTAGATTCTATCAATGAAAACATAAGCTGTGTACTCATACAGTTATACTTGTACATATACAGCAGAAAGGAATCGATCTGCAGCTGGAATTGCACTCTCCCCTCTCGACTGAATAATGTGGTAATGATGGCGGTCTATGAAAGATGGTAGAACAGGTAACAATGTTGAATGGCCGAGTCAACAGAACTTCAAAGATAAGAGGACACATTATGTTACTTTATAGTCCTAAGGTTTCAAAACCGATTACGTTTTCCGTGTCGCTTTATCGCTGACTCTGTGGGTGCTCTGCAAAAACATAAACCTGGTGAATGGCAAAGCTTCGAGACAATTTGATAGAATAGTATGCGTACTTTCGATTCTTGAGTTTCGTGCTTTCGGCTACAGGGTCATCAACGTCCATGCTATCACCCAAGCCTCCCGCTAGACTGCTGGTCCCTGGTGCTCTCTTCGGGCCCTTACTATCCTTTTGTCTATCAAATACATCTTTGAGATTACTAGCCAAGGCGCGTTCATGCTCTTCGTTCTCTGCATGAACTGCTTCAGAATGGGATGAGATGTATTCCAATTTCTGGTCCAAAGTTGATAGTACTGCTGAAGTCGTTGCAGCCCTAAAGCCCACTGAAATTCAGCCGGAGAAAGGGAGATACCTGGCTCAGGATAAACTGACCAGCTCTGAAGTGCCGATAAAATACTCTCGATCTTCCCTGGTTCGACATCTCTACCCATCGTATACTCAACTTCAAGCTGTTGCTCCTTTTGATCAAGTTTTCCGCGGAGTAAGTCCAGGTAGATAGCATCGATGATAAGGTCTTCAAGCTCTCGTATCGTAGGCATCTGAAGAGTCTCAAGTAATTGGGAATATGGTAGGATCTATAGTTCCAGTTGTTAGAATGTCGGAACCACTGCAAGATACAAGCGTCGTACCCGACGTTCGGCAGCAAGAGATACGATCGAGAGATATTTGAGTTTGGTAATCTGCGCTTGATTCAACGGTGGTAGATTGTCTTTGTGTTCTAAATCGTAAAGATATTGCTCAGCTGCTTATGATCGGGGATCGTTCACGGTAAGCTCAACTAAGATAGTCCTGGTACGTATTGTACGAGAATAGTTGCAGTAGTGAGATATACGGCGCATGCTGCTCACTGTTTGTAAGCTGGAGGAAGTACATGTAATGTTCATGTTCATTATCATATTCGGAGGGAAGACAGGTTACGCACCTCTTGTATGTTAGGTAATTCTAGTAGCTCTGCAAATACGAATACGCCTGGCGCTGAAGTGGCATCCTGAACCAGCTTCGCTGCTGCTGCTCCTTTTGCAGATTTAGACATGAGCAAGAAAGGCTCTAGCTTGGCAGAAAAGTTTGACCCCAGTTCCATTCTATCAGGTTGGCGGAATGTGACGGATACACGAGGGGTAATTGATTCAGTCCAAGAATGGCAATGAAGGCGTTTGTCCGAGAGGTGGTGCAGATGTTTGGATCAGAGGCTGTTGCCAAACATGATCATATCACCGCAAACAACGCCTGAAGATATTGCCAGTGAAATTCCGAATCACATCGCTGGCTTTTGGTGTTGAATGCTGCGTAATTGTAATCTACTCGATATGTTTAACCCACGCATCCCCAGACGTAAGTTACGAACCATTGGGACTATATAGCGCAATTTCCTTTTTTAATATTAACGTACGCTCCTATCACTGCCCCAGCAATTGGGAGGTTGAGTGATGTCAATGCCCAACTGTGACATATCTGTAAATATTTCTGACGGAAGTGAGCCTGCGAGTTAAGAGCCTAGCCGAATGTAAGAATAGCGCTGTTTGCAGCTGTGGGAACTAGATGCTTGTGCGGCTCTGGGTATCAGCCGCTTGAAGGCTTTCCATCTGTCAGCATCTGTTCACTTTGACTGTTCCGCCCAAAGTTACACCCCGGCTTTTACTGTGAGATTCATTCATCATATTGCCTGAAGGCTGTTCTCAGAACTGTGGAACCTTGGGATAACACGGTTCTTATATATATAGGCAACCCTAGCCTGGTTGGGTTTCTCTGGACCAAAATTGGTCTTCGCTTTCTTTGCTACGTGGCTTGCTCTATCGTCGTAACATGTCCGCAGCCAGCGTTCCCACTGTCGACTCTGCAATACGTGTCGTCGTCACTCCAGCGCAATCGTCGTACTTTGCTGGAGAGCCATTTTCTGTTAAAATCACATTTACAAACACCCGAACACCAGAGTCGCCTGAACGGTCGCCTTCTACTTCGCGAACGCATAAGCGTGGTGCTCATTCCATTAGCTCTGCCCCACTAGCGAGACCTCCAACTTCGCCTGGTCTCCCTCGAACGGTTGTTCCTCGACCGTTGGCTCGCAGTTTGAGTAACGATGGAGATAAGCCAGCAAGGAAAGGGCTTATTGGGCGGGATTATACGCAAAGAAATGGTGCTGGAACGCCAGATCTATTAGAGGAAAAGAGGCAGATGTTATTAGCGAAGACGAGGTCTCTCTCGGTGGATATTCCATCCCATGAACTCGGGAAGCAAAAAGCAGGGGAGGCCGAAGATAGCAAGCCAGTATATGTGCGAGCATATGATGAGTTTTCGCCAGCCAGTAAGTTATGATTTCCCTGTATGTATTTTAGCCGCTCATTCCGTTCTAGGCGCCAACCCTACCCTTGTGCCCTCTCCTTCAGTTTTGGCGCGTACACCTGGCCTTTCACTGTCATCCAAACACCCCCATGCACGAAAACAATCAGTATTTGATGGCCAAATATCGTTTCAGGACTCACAAAAACCTTTGCCAAACTCACCATCTCTCCCGAGTACATCTAGTGCATCCAATTCAGCCTTTTCGCTTACATTGGATCCCATTGCAGAGACTGCACAGTCTCCATATCCTGCATCGCCTTTACCAGGATCGCCTCCTCTCCCTCTTACCGACACTCTCGAAATCCAATCATCATTGAAAACTGACTCACATTCTTATCCTCCACGCCCTTCCCAAAACCCCATAGCCCGTCGCCCATCGCAAGTCGGTCTAGGTCACGGCGCTCCACCTGCATCACTGCATACACATGTAACACCTCGGACTGCATTCTCATCCACATTTCCTCGAGCAAATACAGAATTGATACTTTACTCATACGTGCAGCTTGTTGGCACACTTTCCGTCTCACCTTTACCTGGAGTGATAATGTCGCCAGAGCAAACCCACACACTGAAAGCTCTTCGCACGAGTTTGCTAAAACGCCCGGTAGTGGGGGGCGGTAGCATGGATATCAGCTCGTCGTTGCATTCACGTCCACAAATAGTGGGTCGCAGAAAATCCCACAGTCGCTCTTCGTCGCTATCCAGCAGCATTTTCTCTCTACTGTCGCCCTCATCTTATGCAAACTCATCATCAACTTCCCTCCCCGCATCTCAAACATGGTCTCCCGCAAATCGTACACGTCCATCGCAATCAGTATCTTCACTCGGGTCTGGGTTCCAAGCACAAGCTGGCATTGGCTTGGGATTGGTGAACGGGGGTCTAGAAGAAGATATCGACCCTGAAACTCCTCTACCTACATTCGAAGTGCAACCTGCGATGCTGGCCGTTGACTTGTCTCTCGCACCGGGAGAGTCTCGTAGCTGTACGTGAGCCATTCTGAATATATGCTATGAGGGTGAATGAACTCATTGTTTTCTGGTTTCAAGATACCTATACAATCAATCTACCAGAGAACCTCCCACCGACCTTCAAAGGCCGGTCGTTGAAGTTCTCGTACGAGTTAATCGTGGGTACTTGCCGTGCAGGTTCATCTCCTCAATCTTCCAGTAATCTGGGTCCAACGGGTGCAAATGGCATCAGCAGGATCATGAAAGTTCCTATTCGACTATACAATAATGTCACAGGTATGGTTTCTCATATCCTGCTACTATCAGCAAACTCAACTTTCTTCTGGCTTTCAGTTGGCAAGCCACAGATGCCATACGACTTACTCTGGCCTGTTGCTAAAAGGCGCGATCCACTCTCCGTAGTAGCACCTAAAGTTATTGAGGATTTGTCGAGTATATCGAAAGGACCAAGAAAATCGTCACCGACCTCCCGTACGTGTTCTAGTTCTTTTCCCGCTTATACTGTTCTAAAAACAACATTAGAAAACACGGGTTGTGGGACGCTCGACGACTTGCGAGAATACGGAAAGCGTCTGCTTTCTACGTTCCCTGATTCGGAGAATTCACAAAATAAAGCCAGTTCGAACCCTGATTTGATACCGCCTGTGCTTAACGATATTGAACGAGACCTTGAGAGGGAAAGAGAGGGAGGGGCATTGACAGGATGTAGTGAGGGTGTGGAGATCATGACTAGAAATTCTAAGAAAGGTGGACTGTGCAATCTATGTAGTACGTTCTTACTGACCAACTTCTCATATGGCTGTTAGTTTCGTACGACGTCAACAAAGACGGAGTGAAAGTGGCTGTTCTAACTTTCACCAAATCTGCTTATAGGCTAGGCGAAACAGTCTTGGGTGTGGTGGAGCTCAATGATCGGTCAAGTCGTGCTCGAGTACTATCGGTGCGTGATATTTTGACATACTATGCTAACACCCAGCAGTGACATTTCATTTTCAACCCCTTGATTATAGCTGTCTGCGATATTGGAAGCCCAAGAATCACTACCTTCTTCCATTTCAGCTGGTGGTTCACGACACATGCGTCGAGTGCACGCAGAGCACTATTCGTCCTTTGTGGCATCCACATTACGGACTACATTCTCATTGGATATCCCATCAGATGCCAGTCCCGCGTTCCAGGTTAAAATTGGGGGTACCCCTTCGCAGACATCTGGATCGACCGGTGGCCTGGAATGGAGAGTCCGGCTATGTCTGTTGGTATCGGTTGCTGCAGAAACGTCGCATATGGGGCCTGACGGTGCAAGGCTCAAACAGCTTGTGAGGGATGGACCTAAGGGGGAATGGGGTACGTCTTGGAAGGCATCTGCGACTATCGCACCCTTCGAACGGCCACAGCCAGATACCAATGACACTAAGCAACAACCAACTACCTGGACACAGTATTTTGTCTCGTCATTCCTTGGTACGGGTGAAAGAGAATACCACGATGGAGACGAAGATCCTGATGAGGAGCAAGCGTGGAAAGTAGCAAGAGACGAGGAAGCGGATTGGAAGGAAGTAAAGGTGGAGACTGTGGAGTGCGAGGTTCCTATAAGTGTGTGGCCCGGTAATACAGCATTCAAAGCCATGGACGTGGTCTTTGACGTGTAGGAGGCAAAGTCTGGTACAGGGTCCTACCACTGTCAACTCTCGCGACGATGTTGGTTTGAGCCCCTCGAGCGGGTGGCGTCTTCCCCACATGGTCATTACAGTAATAGGGTGTTCTCGGGACCGAAGGCAATTGCACCGCAAAGCGTCCACGTTTTATGGGGACATGAAATTCCGACATCTGGGGTTTTTATGACGGCTACGTAGGCCATTGTGGGACGCTCTCAGATTCCAGTGGTGTGTACTAAGTTGGTACAATATATTGACTCCAGGGGGGGTGGGGAAGAAAAGAGGCTCAATGATTTACTCGCGGACCTCAATGAATTGCCAAATCGCGAAGGAAAGCAGTGCTATATGAGATTTCCGTATATGAAGTGCCTCGGTGACTGTACGGTTTGTAGGGGCTCATGAGGTGGAATACCTCGAATATGACGCGATTGTGGACCTGTTTATAGCTGAGATATAGATGACACAAATGGTACTTTGAGTAAGGACAAAGAATGCAAGGGCGGAGCTTGGTGCAGTGGACAGGTGTTCAGTAAAATTGCCAGTAATTGATCGAATGGGTGGGCCATGTGACCTGTCAGGTGGACAGGGTGGTGAAATTCAGGCGCTCGTTTTGGTTACCACCGGCTTGAGGGGCAGCCCAAGCCTGAGCTGGGTATTCCTTACAGACACCGTAGCATCACTATTCTCTTCTCTGGTTTGCTCTCACCTGCTGCATTCGCATATCCTTCGTTTAGACCAGTTCTATCCTATTTTATCGCTGCGGCGCCAGTCCGAGCTGTTCCTTGCTCTGTTTGCCTTTCTATTGCAATTGGAACAAGAGATCAGTCAAATTTAAAGGAGGGACACCTGGTACGTGCGCAGCCTTTTTTGTGTCCTCGGAACGTTGAATTTAGGTTCTTGCTAGTGTCACCTACTTTACAACAGTCAGTACGCTGAAAGGAGAAAACCAGACCATAAAGCAAGTGAATTGCTGGTTCCTGAGTCACACGACGTGTAAGCAGCGGTGGCCGTCTTCAACGGTTATATCTTTCGCAAACCTATTACCGCCACGATGCAGTACTCAAACAGTGCCCAACAACATCCTTTCCCTGACGACTTTGACCGTAAAAATCGTTTCCTTACTCCACCAAGCCCAGATTCAGGCTCCGGAACACATAGAGAGCGCGCTACCAGCCAGCCGCCCCGCAGTAACGGCCAGACCTTTCTCAGTTCTCCCTCGTCTCAGCACATAATCCCTACAAGCCTGGGAGGAGCTGGAGGAGCGCCCTGGTCAAACTCACGCATGGCGTCCGGTCTCAATCCAAACAGCCGTACGGCTTTACCCTCCTCTGTTCCCACACGTAGTTCTTCTTTCTCTGCAAACCAACAAACTCACTTTTCATCTGCGATGCGCGAATCGCGCGCATTTGCTTCCACCTTTGAGGACGACGAATCTGAGGCCCTCTCCGACACGTATGACGAGCGATATGTCCCGCCATCGATGTCTTCAAACAGAGGTAGACCTTATGCCCCCGATCTTGCTCGTAGCAGATCACAGTCTTTAGCTACTACTACTCGCCCTGGACCCATCGGAAGTCCGCTGCAGCCTCAAGGTCTTTGGCCTGAATCTCCTTCTCTGTCTTCAAATCCGCTCAATATCCCTGGCTCACGTTATGGCGAGATCAAGCCGCCTGGCAGCAGCCGGTATGGTTCCCTTGGAACTCTGGGCAGGTCTCCTCTGAGTAACACTCTTGATTCACCCATTGGCAGTGCCAATGGTTTTTCTAATAGACAAACCATCGACATATCAAATATGAGTCCGTTCGTGCGAGATGTTGGTCAGATCTTGTTGGATGACGGTTCTGCATTCCGCGAACTGTGGGCAGGCATGCATCCTCCTAGAGATGAAAATGGTGGTGGCGGTAGTGGTACCACTAGCAGGCGGCATAGTGTTAGTGTAGTGCAACCGAGGAGGCCCACCATAGTAGGATTCAATGCACCTGGTAATGATGACGAACCTAGTCGGCCCTCGCTGTTTCAATCACAGCCGTTTGGTCGAGGTGGATTGATGTTGTCAGATGACGATCTTGCAGCTGATCTCAATATGCTCAACTTGAGTGCGAAAGAAAATGGCCCCGCATCTTCGTCTCATCCTCCTAGCCAGCCCTCTTCACTGCCTATCTATGCCCCGCTTTCCCGCAGTCCCCCCTCCTCGGATCGCATCTCCCCGTACCAATCTATCAATCTCAGCATACCCTCAGGCAACTCTTTTGCCTCTCGTCAGCACTACGGCTCTCCCAGTGATAGCGGGTTATCCGCTGGCGGAAGCCCGTCCCGAGGTCATTTCGACCAGCAGGTTCCTGAATCGTACTTCAATTCTGGTGCAGGTGCTCAACAGACACAATTGACTGCACGGTTCATCCCCGGTCAGGGCATTCAATACCTGCCTCAGCAGGGTAATGGAATCACAGGCATGACTCGCAATGTTTCCATTGGCGCGGGTTCTATGGCCTCACCGATCTCTCCGACTAGTGGACGAGCCATACATCCGCAGCAGGGCCCATTTTACCCTCAGCAGATTCAGCGACGTCCCTCGGATGCAAACCCTGCTAATATCGCTGATCTTGGTAAGGGCGTGCCGCTTTCTTCCGTGCCGGCTTCTTGGCCGTTGTACATTGTCGAATTTAAAGCTGGTCGCACTGACCTGTTTTACTTGACCGACCTGAGCCTAGACATTAGAGTTGGTGACCTTGTGATTGTAGAGGCGGACCGCGGAAAGGATCTGGGTAAAGTTGTCAATGATAGTATTACGTTAAAGGAAGTAGAAGCCTTCCAGAGGGAGCAAAGGGAGCGGATTGGATTCGGCGATGGAGGTCCGATGAGCCCTGGAGGAGCACAGGGAGGAGCTAGTGGTAAAAAGGAGATCAATCCCAAAATGATCTACGGAAAAGCGCAACCTCATGATACGCAGTGCGTATCCATTCACTTCCATTTTCCCTTTTACTTAAAGTCATTATGCCACCGCTAGGCACTTGGTTACTAAAATACAAGATGAAGTCAAGGCACTTCAGTTGTGTCAGAGTAAAGTTCGACAAAAGAAATTGCCGATGGAGGTTATAGATGCTGAGTATCAGTGGTTAGTATTTCCATCCTTACATTTCGAAACGATTGGTAATCAATTTGGATCTAGGGATCGACGCAAATTAACATTTTACTTTATCGCTGAGAAGCGAATTGATTTCCGAGAGCTTGTACGAGAACTATTCCGGTAAGTAGAAGATAATGTGTCGGTAGGATATAGCTAATGCCATCTTTCCCGTATAGACTATACAAAACAAGGATCTGGATGGCCTCACTTCAAGGCTCTGGCGGATACGAACAGTAGTCCCTCGATCGATGAACATAAAGGAAGGAAACAAAAGATTTTATCAACACAGGCCATTTAATCTGACCTTACACGACCTATCATGCCTTTCCCGATTCATTTCGTCTTTATCTAGATATGCAATATCCGTTCTGTGTTTGGGTTACATTTACCACCTCTAGCACTGCCTAGATTTCCCCACTTTCTCATAAATTCGTTGTGCTTGTACCTGTGATTCCTGGTTACCGTGACAGCAAACCATGCATGCATGAACTATTATTTCTATTCTTTTTTACCGTTTTTGCAATGTACGTTAAGAATGTCTTCAGATGGTCCATATCTTCACTCTTCTCTGTTTTTTTGTTTCGTTTTGTTCCTGCCGACACCTAATATTCATCTATAAAGATAAAAGAGAGTCATTTGACTATGTGATGTGCATTTTTCGTACATCCTGTATTACTACTGTATATTCTCTGAAATATAGTACGCCCTTTATGCAATTTAGACAAGTGAAACCTTGGACATACATCTTCTGCGCAGTGTGATACTTAAAAACTTTTATTTCACTGTTAGTCTTGATAACACCTGTAAACGGTTCAACCTCGTGCGGGAGGCTGTTGATGTTTACAAGAGAACTTCAGGTAATAATGACTGTCATTGGCAGGTTTGGAAAATACTTGGAAAGGCTAAATCACACTGGCGATCATATGTAAGCCTGAATTTAATGAAGATGTGTAATGTAGTAGATGGGTGATACAGGAAAGGCGACGGGGATATCGATACATCAATAGGGTTGGTAGGATTGTAAGATAATCAGCAATGTAGCGTCTGGCTGATAAAACGGCGTGGGGAATGTCAATCTTGACTACTGATGACTGGGATTGCTGATGTCGGTAGTCATAGCGGTAGATTCGGGTTTATCCTTGTTGACCTTTCTTTCTGCAGTTACTGGGAGCCAATATGAGCACAGTGGATAAGGTTGGAATGATCCTTCAACTTACCCCAAGTTCGACGATCCATTGGACACTGCTGCTTCGATGCTGCTGTTCCAATCCACTTTAATAGGCAATGCATGTGAAATACATGACTGCATTCACCCCAAACTATATATAAAATGAGTCAATACCACACAGCCCCTTTACGATAGACAAGACTCACTTAATGGACAATCATCCCCTGGCACTTTGCAGGACGGACAGCAACCTTCATAAGGAACTCGACATATACCACATACGTCCCCTTCGTCGTCAGCCTCGGGATTCCCAGTGTCCCAACGCCATTGTGCGACTGCGTTCCAGTGCTTGACGTTGACTTTCATGCTGGGCTCCTGCAAGGAAAGGTCATGGTTGAAGGGAAGTATTTGGTGCTATGTACGCGTCGGTTTACTTGGGCACGTGATTACACGCGTTCCTTTCTGAGTCCCATCTTCCTCCCGCTCTCCATCAGATTTGTTGTCCTCTTCAAGGCTTAAGCTTGATTTGCCACCATTCTGTTGCTATACCTTGTCTCGTGGCTGTATATACAATGCGGGATCATTCGGGCGGCGACCAGGAAAGAGGAAACGATATCTGTGATCATTTTGATACTGTCAGTTGTGGTGAGAAAGTTTTGACATCCAATTTCCTTTACTTTCCCATTTATGATTCCGTTATCGCGTCTTACCATGCAGACAGACTGGGTTATCTGCACAGGGAGGCTTTCCCATTATCTGAGAAAGCTGAGGAAAGGCTTGGTGTCTTGGTTAGAATTGCTGACATCCTCGGCCTCGATGATATCTCCTTTTTAAGGTGGAAGATGTCCAACTTTATAATTCGGCGCAGCTCTAATGCACCACCGTAGTTACTCTTCTGCCATCTCACATCTCTCTTCAGAAGAGTTAGACCTTAAAAGGTCCCTCAACCGTCTCAACTTTGCCGAAAAGGAACTTGCCATAAATCTAAGAGCTGCAAAGCGTGAAAGGTCCCTCATAGAAAAGTAATCTTTACATCTCTCTTGCACTGCTCTTCGTGCTGATTGTGCCTTCTTTTATTTTTATAATAGATGGCGCAATGATATACAAGGCGAGCTTAGTCGAGAAAATGTCGCAACTTTTGATAGACAGAAGGAAGTTATTATGAGGAAAGCCAAAGAATACAGGAAAGGACTGGATATCTTGTTGGTAGGTTTCTGATTGAAGATGTGGATATGTTGCTACCCTGACAACAAACCATCAGACTCAGATGCCTGGTGAAACTCCGGTCACGATCACAGAATTGGTTGCCCAGAAAGACCGGATATATCGAGAAGAGAAAGAGCTCAAAGTAAAATATGCCAAGGTCAAAGCCTTTCAAGGTCTACCGCCGGTAGGTAGTCAACCTAAGCTAATGGACTATTCTCTAAGTACAACTCGTGTGCAGAATTTAGAACTTGCTCGAATCGAGTTAATCCAAGCTCAGGATGAACAAATGAGACTAGTCCAACTTCGTGAACGGCTACTTGGAAGAATGGCTGATGCTGTCTCGTAAGAGATTATCAGAAAGGGTCACAGTGCTCAAAGGCCCCTTTAGAGTTGTCATACTTGATAAATATACTTAAGGTATGAAATGCCTTTTGAGCTGCCTTTCGTTATCAAGGTCTGAGCTAGTAGGCTAACCTTGAGGGCCGTCTATCATAAGGTTGCTTAAGCATAGCATCTTCTTGAAGGTATGTCGTAAAACTGAAAAGAATTGTGTTACTGGCCCTCTTTTTTATTTTTAGTTTGGGACGTAATATCATACCTCGTAGTTCGATCGTGGCCATCGGCGCAGCCTTAACAATAGCAGCCCTTCATGTGTGTTCTCGGCATAGATCTGAAACTGCTATGTTGCGAACCAGTCGTGCATGCGGAACTTGCCGCAAATCAAAGTTTCGCAATCGTGACGACCTCAATAATGTTATGCAAAACTCTCAAATAACAAATAACACTCCCGGAATCTTACACTGGGACAGATTGTCAGTGAGAGTGAATATCTTTAGGTCGTCCTTCCAACTTATAATTATATTGGAAACAAAGCTTGCTATAAAGACATTTTGCGGGCTGACAACAATGTGCAGCTTCCACAGTGCTCATCATGATCATCTATCAAATCAGTATCCTTTGGTGGCACCGGTTTCTGATGATAGCTTTGGTTAAAGGGAAGCGGTCGGAGGGACTGAATGAGCAGCCACCCAACTTGAGCTCACTATGCATCTGAAAATCTGCGAAATATGGGTTATGAATTTAGTAGCGCTATTAGGGGTAGCTACGCAAGTGCTTCCTACGCCTACGAGTTCAAGTTCGAGCTACTAGGTACGTTGATTTTTCCTACCTAGTCAGAATTCCTGTAACGTTTAATCTTCAGTGAGTGCGATCATTAGCTCGTGGAATGTTCTAGCTAAAGGCCTTCCAGCTATCGAGAGCAAGTGCCTGCTTCTAGTCAGGGATACCTCAAAGTAGGTTCCTTTCACTTTTCCCAGATGTTAATCTCAAGTGATGGGTTATTGTAGAGTGCCACTTTTGATGCTGCTGGTGACAGTATTTCCGGTTGGGAAACTGCTGTAAACCCCACCGCTTTTGTCGCGGACTCCATCGCGGACTCCACCACTTCTGTCGCGGGCCCCACCGCTTCTGTCGTTTCCTCAGTCATGCTTACAATCACTACGACTTTCAGGGCGACTTCCACGCTGGCGGACGTTTCACGGTCCAACACCGATGCTATTGCGGGTGGCGCAGCTGGGGGTGTAGCTGGCCTTGCAATCATCATCATAAGTGCCATTTTATTCATGCGCCGACGTGCGAAGGTCATTGATCCATTGATGGAGGAATCTGCACATCGTAGCACAGGGACCTTAGGGCCACACGTTTCGTCGTTGTTTCGCCCATCTTCAATAACACCTTCAGCTGTTGAAGGACATGTCAGACCCTTTGGAATAGACCTAGATTCTCACAATAGCTTGGCGATGCAACCTCAACCCCGATCATCCTCGATGCTACCACCGGGTAGGAAGGAACACTTCGCCATGTCTACCAACACCACCGAGTCGGATATTATTAACAATCCACTCACTCAGGCTACACTCCAGTCACCTTTGTCAATGATATCTCCGGCACACTACGAAGAGTTCCGCGCTGGTACTGATCCTGTTGATAACTCACGTGCTCAATTTGCATCTCGGCCATCCTCGACAGTACCATCGTATAGGACAGAGTATGATTTCGGATCTGCCGGAATCGCAGAACCTGATCTACAGAGTTACATACCTGTCCAGTCTTCTCCTCGATTAGTCACAGCGCCTTACAGCAATATGGAGTCTAGCACTTTCAATGCATCACTCATTCAACCTTCGTTACGACCATTCCCAGGGTCAACACCACGTAGCACGGAATGCGATCCAAGGCTGCCTGGGATCACTGGCTCAGTGACTTCCAACCATCCACCTATGCGAACTAGGCCTCTATCGTCTTCGGCATTGCAACTGTCTAGGACGGGAAATCGAGTATGGCATGGGAGCACAACCGAGCCGTGTCCTCCTAATTACTCATCTTCGCAACCCTCCTTTCGACCATCGTCAGTGGTACCATCGTTTAGGACAGCAGAGAGCGACATGCCCGCTGGTACCACCGAATCTGATCTCCCTGCCTATTCAAGTGTTGCCGCTCGGTCTCGACGGTCCTCGGCGGCGCCATCGTATAGTACTAGGCCTAACACCATCGTCGAGCCGAATCTTGTTCTCGATCCCGTCCCAGCTTTACCTCGAATGCCCTCTATCACGCTTCCTTATGGAGACGGACGTCAAATAGGGTGGTCCAGTGAGACCATCTAAGTGAATCTCACTGTACCTCCATGCTTCGTATGGGAAGCCCTTTATCCTGGCGGTACTGTACTGTGAGATTAGTATTCTGTCACACAGTCGGCCACCCCCAACCTGTGGGAATCCGCGCGTTTGATTGCTAGAGGGCTAGAGTAACAGCCACTTACCAACCAATGTGTTATACGAGATTTCGTCTAGTAAAATAGGAATCGTTTCGTCTATCTAGAATCTCGGTACACTTTCAAGTTAGTCTACTCCCCCCCAAGTTACCGCATCCTGGCTATCTCAAGAGTCCAACCATAAAATTTTGATCATTGTCCATGTTTCTCTCTTTCCTGATGCAGCTCATGGTTTTGTCGTTCAGCCTACTGGTTAGTCATCGCTATAGCTCATATCTGTCTTCCATGCATACTTCCTTGACACATCGCTTTCCTTGACATCGCCTTCCGTGTGTCACTCCCTTGCACAGCCACTCGTTTATGTATGTTATCATCTCGCTATCATCCTAACTTATTATTCCATCATCTATGAACCAATGAGCACCATCTTCGGTGTGTCTCTAGTCAGTGGTCGATCGAACGGAAGGTTGAACTTATCAAAGGTAACATTGTATTATGTGCGAAGGTCAGTAACATCGTGTGCATAATTTTCTTTGCCTTTGAACACAGACGTAACGATATACATGCGAAAGAACAAGTCTGGCAGTGCCATTTCTCCCGAAGGGCCTCATGGCCTCGTCCTCATGGCAAACTCTGGTGACTCTTTATAATCGACGATCAGCTCTCTTTGTGTAGTTGCTTCTCATAACAAAGAAACCTCGAGAGTGTAAATTTCCCTCTTGCTTCAAGTTCTTGTCCGCTAAACTACCATTTCTCTTCATGAATAACTTTATTCAAGGAGTGGCTCATCTTCTGGGATGGCCATTGTCAACTAACAGCCTCTCGTATACCTTACAAGAGTCATCTCAAGGCCTGACTTCACTGGATCAAGTGAGTTTGTGATAACCACTGAAGGAATACAAGTTTAAACATTAACATTATTTATTCTATTCTAGCGTGTAGAGAGTGACAAAACCGGATAAACCCGGTCTCTGCCAAAGCAAACATTGTTCTCCATGGAGTTTAGCCACCACTTCATGGAGTCACCATTGTTCTCCTAGGAGCACAATTGTACTCCTAGGAGTCATTATACTGTAGCAAGTAGCACCTCCGACTATAAGTAGTAGGGGGTTTAGTATAGGAATACCTCAGTCGTTTCTATAGCCTCTCGGGCAGCGGCTGAGGTATTTTACATTACATTTATTAGAGATCACCTTAAACTAACATCTATTATAGTTTCACTTAGTTTTATGAGGTTATAAGCCCTGGTGCGCAAAAGCTACACAGGAAATAATTCTTATTCGAAACGGCAACCTCGAAACCATGACCACAGCACACAATACATCCGCATGTCCAGTTCTCACTGGACCCAACAATTTTCAAATATGGAAACTCCGGATCATCTCAAAGCTACGTCGGGAAAAAGTTCTCCAGGTTGTTACTGGAGAGGAGCTTAAGCCCTCACCAGGAAAACCTACCTCCTCGGAGGATCCAGAGATCACCTGGATACTTAAGGATGAGAAGGCACATGGAATCATCCAGGACCACATCTCTGATGCCCTCCTAATGAGGACTGGAGACCTCACCAGCTCCAAGGAGTTATTTGATAAACTTGTCTCACTCTATCAGACATCCAACATTGCCTCGGCCTTCTATTCATTCCAGCAACTCACCAAATTGTCCTGGGATGGGACATCACCTATCTAGGACCACATTGCAAAAATCCGGACAATTGATTCACACCTCTCTGGAATGAAACTAGGAGTTGATACCAAACTCATGGCCTTTGCTCTTCTCCAATCTCTCCCATGCACTCCTGAATGGCAAATATTTCAGTCATCGGTAATCAACACGATTGAAGAAAATAAACTTACCTTTGATGCAGTTGAGATCCAGATCACTGCAGAAGTTGCACAACAGTCAGGGAAGGCCCCTGGAGGTTCCAAAACAGCACTCAAACCCGAGGAGAAGTGGTGTGACTTCCACAAAGCCAAAACACACAACACCTCGGAGTGTCAAACACTTCAGTCAGCCGGAAAAGGTCAAAGGAAGAAGGGAAAGGAAAGACACAAGGATAAAGGAAAAGAGAAGGAAAAGGCAAATACGGCAGAGCAATCATCTGGATCTGACTCCGAGGAGTAACAGAGTCATATTGCATTGGAACATGTACATATTTCCAAGCCCCTTGCTAAACACATTCAAGCTTACCTTGTGTCGGAACCCAATAAGACCAAAACAACAATTATTATTGACTCCGGAGCAACATCCCACATGGTCCCTCACCGCTCCTGGTTTGAGCCAGGAACATACCGTGTTCTGCATCCTCCGAGGACAATCAGTTTTGGGGATGAATCCTCTGTAAATGCCATTGGCATTGGAACAGTAATCCTACAAGCTGTTGGCAATAAGAACTACAATATTGCACTGTCAAATGTCTTACTTGTGCCAAACTTCACTTTAGCACTCGTCTCTGTCTACAAATTGTCCAAAACGCGGTTATCAAGACTTTTTCCAGCAGGGTCAAACACTTGTGAAGTTCGGAAAAAGGAGGAACTTATCCTCACTGCCTTACACAAGCGAGGACTTTATCACATCCAAGCAAAACCCGAAATCAACCTGGAGTCAGCTTTTGCAGCAGTAGATGTAAATTTATTGCACAGGAGAATGGGACACATTGGAATGGACCGCTTGTAATGAATGGTTACAAAAAGACAGCTCCAGGACATAGACACCCTTACCAGAACCCCGGAGTTTTGTGAACCTTGTGCTTTAGGAAAGATGAAGAAATTACCTTTCAAGTCCACTGGAGGAAACCGAGCCAAGCGCCCCATACAAATTGTGCACACAGATGTTGGAGGACCAATCAAACCAACTTCCAGGGAGGGTTTTCGGTACTGGATTATCATTGTAGATGATTTCTCCAAATTTCCATGCATATATTTCCTAAAACATAAAAGTGAAGCACTGGAATGATACAAGCAATGGAAACAAGATGTCCAAACATTCTTCCGGACTCATTTGGGAGAAAAAAACTTCACTCCACTATACGCAGAATTCCTCCGGAGCGATGGGGGAGGAGAATATACTGGCAATGCATTCAAAAATCAACTCCGAGGAGATGGTGTCATCCAAGAAACTACAGCTGCAGATACTCCGGAACAAAATGGCATTGCAGAACGCATGAATCAGACATTGGCTACATTAGCAACCACTATGCTCCATGATTCCAAGCTCCCAAAGTCATTTTGGGTAGATGCCATGCAAACAGCTGTCACAGCACGCAGCCCAGCATCAGGACTCCATGGAAAGACCCCATATGAAATACTGTTTAAAAGGAGAGTTGATCCAACTTTGTTTCGCCCTTTTGGATGCCAAGCATATGCCTTGATTCCGAAAGACAAAAGGCAAGGGAAGTTTTACTCCAAGGGGCGCAAAGCCATAATGATTGGCTACACACATGGAAAGCAAGCCTACAAACTCCTAGACACTGAAAAACGGACTGTGTTTTCCAGTTGGCATGTCATATTCAATGAATCCGGAAAGGTACAAAAGGATGACACTGCTCCCTGGAACACAGACACTAGCACAGATCAGTGGGAGGGACTCATTCCAGAGAATGCTCACTATCCAGACCAAAAAACATTGGAGGAGGATGATCCTGACCCTCGGATCTGAGATCCAAATGAATTGCAAATGGAACCACATCTCCAAGGAGATGTTCCACAAGCAATGGAACCATATCAGCATGAAGATGTTCCGAGAGCAGTGGGGAAATACATCTGTGGAGACGTTCTGAGAGCAGTGGGAGCACCTGATCAGCTAAGACACCCTCCACAACAGTCTCTACAACCAAGACCTGAACACTGGCCATCTTCAGAACGGAAAGCCAAAGTAGAGTTACAGTCAGTGGGAGGACAGCCCCTTAACATACAGCCAGCTGATGTGGAAAAAGTCGGAATACAGCTAGACAGCCTGTCCATTGGATCAGCTTCTGGAAGGCATACAACACCTCCAAGGAGTCATCCAACACCTCCGAGGAGTGATTCAACACCTTCAGGAGTGAGTGGGGCAACAAATACACAAATGCATCTACTCCCTGGAGTACCTGCACAAGTTCCTAAAAGAGCAGTCATGCCTGCTGAAGTCCTAGGAGTACGCAGAAGCAGTCGCCAGACCCGTCCTGCAGACAAAAACCAAGATTATCAAAGGACTCTAGATGAGGAACAGTCTCGAAAAGAGCAGCATGACAACTCCATGGAGAAACCTAACACTCCTGAGGTTCATGAGGAAACATCTGATACAGAGGAGACATTCTTTGCTGGAATAGCAAGTACCGGTCCATCTAACACAGACCTTCCAAGGACACTAAAGGAAGCCTTATCACATCCGGATGGAGAATTATGGAAGTCTGCCTTGGAGGAGGAACTCCTAAGTCTCAATACTAATGCAGTATATGACACTGTTCCACTTCCGAAGGGAGTAAAACCCATCACATCAAAACCTGTGTTCCGGATCAAGTTTGATCAAAACGGAAACATTGAGAGATACAAACTCCGGATTGTTGCACGAGGTTTTGCTCAAAGGGAGGGGATTGATTAGCAGGAGGTTTTTGCTCCGGTTGCAAACTTAGAGTCAATCCGAATTATTCTAGCCCTGGCAGCAAAGTACGACCTAGAACTTGATCAAATGGACGTATCCACAGCTTATCTCAATGGAGAACTTGAAGAAGAACTGTACATGCTTCCTCCAGGGGGTGTTCCTATCCAACCTGGATACTGCTGGAGATTGAAGAAATCCATCTACGGGTTAAAACAAGCTGGTCGTACATGGAACAAAACTTTTGATCGCAAGCTCCAGGAGCTCGGTTTCACAAGACTAAATGCAGAAACATGTCTCTATGTATTCCGGGAAAACAAACAAATATGCTTTGTTGTTGTCTATGTAGATGACCTCATCCTAGGAGCTTCATCCCGAAAATTCATGGATATCACAAAAGCTAAACTCGAATCCATATTCAAAATGTGGGACCTTGGAGAAGCAAAATACATCCTCAGAATAGAAATCCAACGTGATCATTCAAACAAAACAATATCCCTATTGCAACGCCAATACATTGACACAGTCCTGGAGCGTACTGGAATGAAGAACTGCAAGCCAGTATGGACACCAATGGCCCATGGATCAAAACTCCTCGCAAATGCTCCAGGGGAAGATATTGTGCAACACGAGATGCATATTGAAGAGCGTCAAGTGTCATACCTCTCAATTGTAGGCTCCCCGATGTATGCCATGCTCGGAACCCGCCCAGACATTGCCTACATTGTTGGAATACTAAGCAGACATGACTCAGCTCCAAGGAGCCATCACTGGGAAGCTGCAAAATGTGTCCTCCAATATCTGAAAGCAACCAGGGACATGGAACTACGATATGATGGCACAGATGTCTCCATGGACATGGATTTCTATGGATATTCAGATGCAGATTGGTCTGGAGACCCAGACACGTCTTGATCAACATCAGGCTTTGTTTTTATCACCATCCAAGGAGCAATCTCCTGGACAAGCAAAAGACAAAGCATGGTAGCTTTATCCTCCACGGAGTCAGAGTACATTGGATTGAGCAATGCTGGACAACACCTTGCATGGCTTCGGACATTTTTTGAAGAAATTGGACATGCTCAAAATGGACCTACAACATTGCACTGTGACAATCAAGCAGCTATTATTCTTACACAAGATCCACAGTTCCGTGCTCGCACAAAACACATTCAACAGAAATATCATTTTATCCAAGATGACTTAGTATCAAAGGGAGAGGCAGTAATTAGATATGTTCCTACAGGAGATATGGTTGCCGACATTCTCACTAAACCCCTCACTCATGAAAAACACTGGAAATTCTCTAAAGCTATGGGACTACAGTTGCACTCAAGTGGGAGTGACAAAACCGGATAAACCTGGTCTCTGCCGAAGCAGCCATTGTTCTCCATGGAGCATAGCCACCACTCCATGGAGTCACCATTGTTCTCCTAGGAGCACAATTGTACTCCTAGGAGTCATTATACTGTAGCAAGTAGCACCTCCGACTATAAGTAGTAGGGGGTTTAGTATAGAAATACCTCAGTCGTTTCTATAGCCTCTCGGGCAGCGGCTGAGTTTCACATAGTTTTATTATGTGCCTCACCGGTACCCCAATGTAGGTTTCTTCTGATTTTCTCTCTATTTAGAAAAACAGGTTAACGCGTCTTCCAGAACTCTTACAAAGAAATACAGCCCCTACTCAAATTCATTGGAGTAGGTGGCTATTATGAACTGGATAATTGTGATATGTTCGATCATGCAATCACACGGCCATATAGGACCACCACTGGTTGCAGACCAGCAGTTGCAAGGCTTGTTGTTCATCCCTCTTGTTCATTAGTTGTTGATTATGACTGACATTAAGTAGAGTGTATTATTAACGTGCATGATATACAGGCCAAGGGATACTGTAAATTTCGACCTACCCAACATGACAGAAAAGATTATCAAAATTTCTTTGAGTGCCCAAGAATGCTTTATTTATAATTGGGCATCTAAGAACCTGAGAAACCAAGATTTTGCACAGCTCCGAGTACGTCAAGGTGAGTGCTCAATCAAATTGTCCTCTCCATCGCTCACATGCGGCGATATTAATATCTACCAGTGTGTGACCATCCATACCTATTGACTCGAGCGGTCGAGTCCCACAAGCTAGATATGGACAAGAGAGTTATTGATACATACCAGGATGAGCCACTAGATCAACCTGAAAACATGGATGCAGAGCAGTGAGTCATTCTTTCATGACAATATCCCTGTCCGAGTCTAAATCGCGAATCTACAGAAATGCGACAAGTTCATCTAGCGGCCAAACTGAGGAGGAGATGGTATCGAGCAATCCCACCTCGGAGTCCTCTGACAACGATGGTGTCATTTGTATTGACGACAATGCCGTTCCCAAAGAACTCAAACTTCATAATCTTTATTCAGTGACGGATACGTCTCCAGCAAGATGAGAGCTGTGCTAGATATTGTTTAGAACGTACCTGACAATGAGAAATGTATTATATTTGTCAGTCTTTCGCCAGTCACTACGTTCCTTCTTCGTTGATTGACTTGCCGCAGTCCCATTCAAGGCATATGATGTCCCTGCTTCAAACACAACTGCAGAAACAGGGAGTTGCAGTGAGAATGTGTAAGCTCCTTTCTAAAATTACCAGCCCGATTGTTTGTCATGCGTGCATGTAGATCATGGCAATATGGCGGAAGATGAGCGTCGTTTCGCGTTACATGAAATTAGAACAAACCCAGAATTAAGAGTTTTCATTGTGTCAATTAAAGCTGGTGGTACAGGTTCGTACATTTTGATGTTGTTTGCATCCTCGCATTAAGACAGGTTGGGTCAAAAGGTCTGGATATCACTCCGTGTAATCATGCTATCATAACTGAGCCCTGGTGGAATCCCTATTTGGAGGTAAGCACCAGTCAGTCCCAGATGCCAGTACCATGTATCTGATTTTTGCTAGGACCAGGCATTCTGTCGGATATATCGTCCAGGTCAGACCCGTCCGGTGTTTGTTTACAAATTAGTCGTAGAGGACTCTGCGGAGGTCAATGTTGTCCAGGCAAGTTTTATCTAAAATAGTAATCGCCTTATAGTGTAACATATTTTATAGACTCAAGATGAGAAATGAAAGCTGATTGAGGACGTACTGAGTCAATGTGTTACACGGCCATGAACACCTGTTATCCTCTCTCATTTACCTCTGTCGACTTACTGGCATAGGAACTTTCACATCAATTTAAAATACCTTGATTTTTGTGAATCTGTATACCCAGCTTGCGCGTTATCGTGCTGACTCTTCGAAGGGCCTCATCCGTACGAAAGATAGGGTCTTCCTTCTTGCTTGAGTCCTATGTGATAATACTTGCTGGAAAAACGTTGACATATTGATAAACCCCTTTATATCGTTGATCCATATTTACGGGAGCGTGAATACAGGATCGTCAGTACTCTCAATTATTCTTGTAGGATCCAGCATATTGGCCATAATAAATTCACCATCTGTGAACTTTTGATTAGTGGAGGAAGTAAACGCGCAGTGAAGCATACTTGGCCCGTCGTTTTCCTCAGCTCTCCAGATTGCTTCTTCCAAGTCCTTCGCGACGCCAGTTACAACATGTCTTTTGACTAGCCTGATTTTCGCTTCTTTGAGATCGACGTGAAGGAACCATCTCTCGTCGAGGAGCTTAGCACCTTCACTCCATGGATCAATGGATAGAATCGTATAAAGACCCTCTATCACGACAATGCGATGATAAGGATGAATCGATACGGCTTCAGGAGTCGGATCCTTCACAGCATGATCGAAAGAAGGTGCAAGGATAATCGGTGTCAATGGTGTCAAATCTTGGCGTAGGAGCCGCGTAAATGCAACATAGGAAATGCCATCAAACGTCCAGTGGGCACCTCTCTTATCGTGAGCAAGTTTTGGATCAGGAAAACCGTCAAGTTGCGCCCTTGTAAGGTGCCAGCCGTCAAGGCCAACGAGAATTGCGGTCGGATGGGGGGTATCACGAACGCTGATATCTGTGGATGCGGAATTGATGATAGCATTCGTCTTTTCGACTACAAGCTTTGCCAATGATGATTTCCCAGAGGCAGGAACGCCAGCGATTCCCACTAGCAAACGAGAACTAGACGAAGTCCTAGATATTGATTGTCAAAGCTCGATATAAATCTGCATATTGGGAGCACACATACTGTTTCAGGCATTCCACTAGATATTTAGCCAGTTCTGATGCTATTCCCTCCATATCCAAAAATCTAATAAGCAAGATGGCTGCAACCTGAGAATCTTCAAGCTTTAGGCCATACTGGCATCACGGACCGCTTTAAATTGAGCATGTGAGAATCAGTAGTATAAGCTTAAGCCACGATACTAAAAGTATTAAAGTATAATATGGTGGATCCGAATGCATGGTTACACTTTGGATACACCCGCATCGCGGCAACAATTTTTTGAATAAAAAAAGCAGCGATCATTTAATAAGTATCCCACTTTCTGGCGTCATGCTTCCGCTACTTCCCCTGGCATCCTCAATGCAGTGGTACTTAAGCAGAATTTGAGAAATAGTGGAGAGTAAAGACTTGTGACGATCCACTCGAATTCGCTGTGCATGATGTGGCGCAGTCTCTGATATTTTGGATATCCTCTGGTATAATTTTGGCTTGCCTTCAAATCCGTCTGGATTAAATTACAGGATATTGAAAAGCGGACGAAAGCTATCGATACCAAGCCCACTGGGCGTAATCCAGACAGAAGTGATTAATATACTCTCCCTGTTATCCAGGACCCTTCTACGGGTACCGGTGATTCCGCTTTCATGCAGAGTATGAGCCCAATGTTCTTGCTGGTAGCTGCCAGCTCCAAAAAGCGAGGAATACTTCTGTAAAAATGCCGAGATTAGATTTGGTACCAAGTCGAAGGACATTTCACCCGAAGGTCCGCAGCGCGAACAGCAATGGAAGAACGCAAAGGATTTTCTTGGGGCCACTGATGGTTGGTATGTACAAAGCGGTGGTAAATGGATAATGGGAGATCCGTTCTCCTATGCAGATATCATCGTAAGCGTTGCTTTTGAGAAGGACCAGTGGGAGGACATGAGGTCTTGGCATGGTGGACGGTAGGGCGGCTTACGATTTACATTAGCTGTAGGATTCCGACCTTTGAATGCTACATTGACCGTCAGTATACAATCCTGCAGCTGAGCTCCTCCGTACGGGAGGGGTATGACCACAATAGACGTGAAACCAGTAAGCAGTAAGCAGTAAGCAGAGTATTTCTTCATCTATCAGCGCACTCGTAGATAGTGTCTTTTGTTTGAATACCGTGTCTCGTTGCGTTGAGTTACTATCAATCTCCCTTGTTTGACTTGATTCAACGAAGGTGACGATGATAGTCGATCGATGTATTGTAACTTGCCATTTCTGCCTTTGAAGGAATTCGATGCGAGTCCCCCATTTTAAATGTAGTGGTGACCTGGAAAGATTTGGATCCAGTATGATCCAGAAGCTGATGCGAACCCAGAAGACCGAGAGTCCGTGGAATAGGTCTTGGAACTTCGCAGGAGACAAGGATTAGTTAGCTGAATCAGCGTACGACGTAAAAGTGGTTTTTCCCGAGCAACATGCATTAGTTATCACAATGATTCAGCAACGGCAGCTGATTGATGATCGCGACTTCTTCATTGATTATCGTGTTATCTCCCTAAAAAGTACGAACTCAATGGGCTTTTGTAGGCAGGAGAGGAAAACACATTACAAAGCAGTTCGGTCGAGCTAAACATATTTAAGACGTTCTCTGCATTCAACGACCAGCAATCACTGCAGATAATTGACACTCACTTCATATTCTCTACGCATGTCTCAGCCCATTATACTATATGATCTTCCGGGAAAAGTTCCTGGAAAAGCTCTGTCTGGCAACATATTCAAAACAAGGTGAGTAGCTCGGTTGAACCCATCGTTTTCATGTTATGGACACGTCTGACTTACACGTTCGCTGTTGTAGGTACACGCTTGCCTACAAAGGTTTGGTATTCCAATCTGTCTGGATTGAATCACAGGATATTGAGGAGCGGATGAAGGCCATCGGTGCCAAACCCACTGGGCGTAAGCCCGACGGAAGCGGCGACTTCTACACCCTTCCTACTATCCAGGACCCTTCTACGGGTGCCGTTGTCTCCGACTCTTTCGCCATCGCAGAATACCTCGAGAAGACATATCCATCCAAACCCACCGTCTTCCCCCGCAATACTAAAGCCCTCATCAGCGCCTTCGAATCCGCTTTCATGAACACCCTAGGCCCTGCGTTCCCAGTAATGAACGTCGTGGTTGCTCCAAAGTTGTATCCCAAGAACGAGGAGTACTTTAAGAAACAGGCCGAGGTTAGGTTTGGCGTCAAATGGGAGGATATTTCACCCGTAGGCCCAAAGCGAGACGCGGACTGGAAAAACACAAAAGCGGCCTTCGGGATCATTGATGGGTGGTATTCAAAAAGCGGTGGTAAATGGATCATGGGAGACACGTTCTCCTATGCAGATATTCTCGTAGCTGCATGGATGAGGTGTTTCAGTGTTGCCTTTGATAAAGACCAATGGGAGGAGGTGAAGTCTTGGAATGGCGGACGCTGGGACGACATAGTTGAAGAGATCAACAAGTATTCCATTCTGGACTGATGGATGAGTGTTACAAATGTGAATAGCCATATTCTTACATTACTTTACTGAAGCAAAGATCTGTACAATGTATATGGTGTTACGAGCTCGAATCGACTGCGCCATTAGGATACTGACTGTTGCGTGCCTGGTTTAATCCCAGTCTTTAGTTTTCCGTATGGACTGCAGGGACATACATTCGTGCCTTTATTCTGTCCATATTCACACTGCCGCATTGTAGCCCCCGTGTCTGCTTGAGCCGATAGATGCGCACCATCCGCGTTGCGCCTACGCAAAGATGGTTGGCTCATGGACCCTGTTTAGGCTGCATGAACGAACATGAAATTGAATGAAATATGTAATACCCAGGACGCGAGCTGCGACATGCTGCTCTAGCTTTATCCTAGTCTTGCCGAAACTGAATTATTGATGTTGGTGATGGTAGATTCGGATGATGAAGTAGTTTCACGGGCGAAAATTCTACTGATTGCTCTTCAGCTCGCTTTGTAAGGGCGAAAACATCAAAGTTTAAGACCGAGATCGAGACCTGAGAAAATACGAGGCATCAATATATAGTTTAGCTAGATGAGAATATCACCAACGCAGCACAGCAACGCCGGAAGGGCGTGGGTGATCTGTTGGAGAAACGAGGTGAGTGTTAAAGTAGCTTGAGGATATGCAAATGGCATTTGAGAATTCGATCTATGCTGAGAGCATGTTAAGGGAAAGTACGCGGATGGAAGACATCACGAAAAGAAGAATAGAATTCTTGTATGTATTAACACATGTTCGAAATCCATTGCAGTGATACTGTACACCCTGTCGACCTTCTCGGCCCCTCTTCAAGAATGTACAATTCGATAACCTAGCGTTTAAAGCATATGATAATAAGACCGTTGAGAGCAAACTTATCGCTGTAGCTCAATCCAAGAGGGAAAAAGACATGGGTCGGGAAATCCTTGAAGTGGGATACGACACCTACTTGCACGCCAATAATTCGCAGTGTTCATGATTTCACGAGTTTTAAATTTCAGCCCTGTATCGTGGTCGATGTTAAATCCTAACCCGTACCAGCGAACCAAATATCACAGCCACTGCACAGCCACAAGTGCAAGGAGAACAGAGTTTCATGATTACAACCCTGTGGCAAGCGTTTTGCTTGCTAGAAGCTACACAGGCCCTGTCAACGATAGCCGCAACACTCTTGGGCAGTTATTCTTGTATTGATACCACTAACATGGCAAATGACCAGGGAAGGATTATCAGAAGGTGAGCACCACACACTAAGGTCATTAAGGCAGTCATGATGACCCTGTCTGATCATTGAATTACACAGGGCAAACTCAAAGACAATACACGATAAGTTCTTGGTTGGATACCAGGGATGGTGAGTATTTTTCTACTCCACTTCTCAATTGGTGTTCTGTCGAGCTGTATCCTACACGAACCGATGACCTTCTGATTGACTGGGAATTCGGAGTAATGGGTAAAGCAGTAATGTGCCATTACATTTGGATCGCAAATTCCACCATTCAATGGCTCGCTCCCTTATTTTCGTACAAACACTAATATCACTGCCTTCGCTTTCTCTTTGTACAGGTTCACTTGTGCGGGAGATGGTGAGCCAATCGGTCCAGGTAAAATACGGCATTTATACAAGGTTTCTGGTCTTCTGATATATGTTCTCATTTCAGGACACCATGGTTGGCTTCACTGGTTCAATAAACCATTACCCGATGGTGGTCGGCCTAATACCGACCTCTGGCCAGATCTATCAGAGTATTCACCATCCGAGCTATACCCTGCTCCTGGTCTCAAATATGCTAACGGGGACCAGGCGTTTTTATTCTCATCACGGCATCCCAAGACGGTACAAAGGTACTTATCTTCTTGTTTCCTTATTACCCATTGAATTGACATGTATCTTAGGCATTTCCATTGGATGGCACTTCATGGAGTAGACGGCGCTCTTTTGCAGCGATTTCTTGGACAATGTGATCTAGAGGCAGGTAACGAAGGCATTAGGCGCAGTCGGGATGAGGTTGGTGATCGAGTTAGAGAAGCAGCCGAGCAAGAGGGTAGAGTTTTCGCCATAATGTAGCCTTATATCTTTCTCAACGATCTGGCGCTGACTTGGACCTGTTAACAGGTACGATGTCTCAGGAGTCGCCCCAGATAGAATCCAACGTGTCTTGGAGAACGATTGGATCCACCTTCTTCATGATAAATGCGTCTTAGATAGTCCTAATTATCTAAAGGAACAAGGAAGGCCTGTCGTTGTTTTATGGGGTACACCAATTTTTGTCCACGCTCTCCTGGATTATATATCTAACACTTGGTGTAGGTTTTGGCTTCAATAATCGCAACCACTCACCCGCAGTCCTTCGTGCTATTATTGCATATCTGCGCAGCGTTACACCCGGTGGCGCCTATATCGTCGCAGGGGCGCCAGCACACTGGCGCACATCTTCGGGCGATGCCGACCGAGATCCCGAGTTTCTAGACATTTGGTTGAATGAATTCGACGCTATCAGCCCTTGGACGGTTGGTAGATACGGTAACGAAGACGATGCTGACAGATGGGGGGAAGAGAAAATCAAAACAGACGCCGAATTTTTGAGAAGCAAGGGGCAGGAAACTGGTAGAAAGGTGGATTACATGCCCGTCGTCCTTCCTGGGGGCAGTGTGGGTCCTGCCTTTTGTGCCAGTTGCTCCCCCTTTAATCATTCTGATTTCAGGGATATAATCTATCTCAAGGCAAGTGGAGCTTCAATGGTATCAAACGTAATGGAGGACATTTTTTGTGGAAACAAATATATAACGCACGTCGTCATGGCGTGAGGACGCTTTATGGGGCAATGTGGGACGAGTACGTCGATAATTGTCAGATTAACAGATATCCAGCTCAATCGTATGGTTAGATATGACGAGGGAACTGCATTCATGCCAGTTGTATCGAAGAAAAGTATGGTACCAGTCCATGACAAGTATCAGTTCATGGCACTCGATGAAGACGGTCACGATCTTCCTTCGGACTGGTTCGTTTTCTTGCTCGATCTTAATTTGGCTAACCGTCACTTAAAAAAATTATCAGGTATATGCGCATATGTGGTCTTGCTGCTGAGGGTCTACGCGGTGACCGTGTATTACTGGATACTTTCCCGATCAAAGAACTCCAGGACTATTGGTCCACAAGGCCACGGTTTGAAGAGAGTTCAGGGTCGGGAGCTTACATTGGGGGTAGCAGCAGTAGTCAGACCTATCAAGGCTGGTTGGCAGCTGAAGGCGGAAATCAATCAAAAGACGAACCGCCGCCCCCACCGTATTCAGTAGAGGCCGTTGATCTTGTGTCCCCTCTACCGGCACACTCGCAGCACAGTGCGCCCCCGCCTAATTTGTCGAGCAAACCATCATTGACTGCTCCAGCTCCCCCACGTGTAGCCTTGCATTCACGACCTAGCTCTATTGGACAAGCAAGTTCTGTGCAGCCCGAGTCAACAAGTACTCCTCAAGCTATTTCGATGCTTGCAGATGATTTTAGCCAGCAGATGATCTCATCCCCATCTCGGCCACCGCATTCTCCAGGGCCTTCATCACACCCACCAATGATGGCCATGCCCGCGCCCCCTATGTCATCTACCAATACGCATTGGGAAACGTCACCACCAGGGGCATGGTCTCAGGTGGAGTGGCCTCCCAAGGAATGGAACATTCATTCGCGCCCACCAGTTCCATTAGCTTCTCATCCCGGGCATAATCCAAACTCGATGAGCTACAGCCCTTCACGCACCCCTACCTCTCCACCCCCTGCTCCGCCACTTACAACGAAACCTTCTGTGTCTGGACCACAATCTCCAAGTACTGTCGTAGGTGACTACACCCCTCAACAACCTCAACCTCATCAAGTTCTCGGAGCCCACGCTCCTCATCAAAACCATGCTTCCACATCTCATCCACATTCCCCGGCCCATCTTTCACCCTATGATCCACCTGCCGTTAGTGGATTGGGCCATCAATTTCCTCAAGTTAACGTACCGCAATTTCAACAAGTCAATTACGAGCCTTATCGGCCTTCTCATCAAAGGACGTCCTCCAATCCAAACGATCCAACTCAGATGCCGCAGTCGCCAGGATCAGCAATGTATAAACCTCCTTCAGCTCCCCCTCGTACGTGCTTCCAATGTGGTGTTTTTACGTGATAGCCTGACTTTGATCTGGCGTGATTAGGGAACTACGGCCCACCGCCACCGCGGCCACGACCCTCAAGTTCGCCATCCACACAGCCATCGGAACCTGGCCCGGCTTACCCCAATGCACAATCGTCCCCTTTATCTATTAACGGTGGGGCCTTAGCCAACCGTGCATGGAGCGCCGTGGACAGAGTCGCGGGCCAAGATAAAAGAAAACAGCTTGAGAAAGGTGTTGAGACTTTGGCGCAAAGTACGTTCCTGGTTGTGACCTCTTGCCCCATCCACTTACCGGAGCTTTGACTCAGCCGGTAGCAAGCTATTCAATAAATATAAACGATCTTAACGTTGTCTCGGTGTAAGTAACGCGGGCGTTGTATGAGTGTAAACGTAGTGTCGCATTGTTATCGGACTTTTTTTAAAGAATGTTGATAAAAAAACCCATCCTAGAAATGTAAGACACAATAACCGTCGAAGGAGCAACGACAAAGTGATTGGTTGATGTCCATTAAGAAGATTCAAAATGCTACAGACGTTATACAATGTAAAGTACCGTGACGTGCTCGAAGAAGTGATGACTGTGTCCACGACTATTCTAGCGGCAATCTATACGACCCTAGAATATCTAAACCTAAACCCAAAATTTACATATCAAGATGATGGTAACAACAAAATTGGCCGGAGCAAAGAAATCTCAGCGGGTAATACATGCTCGACCAAACCGACAAAAAATCCACAAGTATACACATAAACCGAGAAAAACCAAAAAAAAAATAATAAAACAAACAAAGGACTCAGCAAACGTCTTATCCGATTACCGCCTAAAGCATTACCAGTCTCCCCATGACAAAACCACTTCCACCTACCAAACCCAGATTGCTCAAATCCCTCCCGCCGAAGCCGAGGCCGGGACCTGGGAGTTTACCCTTCCACGCACATGGATGATAAGGTGTAACACCGACACTCTCGTCCCACGAGTCACGTTCTTCTATCCACTCGTCTGTCGTTTCGTCCTTGTATGCCGACACAGGTGGGAGAGGGACGGATGTAGACTTTATGAACTCCATAGGTAAGATTTTGAACGGGAGAAGCGAAGTAGGAATCCATTGCGAGGGCGAAGGGGCTCGCCGTCGGCGTTTGGGTGGTGCTTTAGATATAGAAGGAGATTTAGTGCTGGCGGACTGAGAGGGAGAGGAGGGACCTGACGGTGAGGAAGAACAGGGATCACCCATATTTTTCCGCTTATTGCTGCTTTGCTCTGAAGATGCTGGGGGATCTCCAGAGACGTTTGAAGTACTAGACAAAGCTGAGATCGACGATTCAATGCTAGAAGCTGCAGAAGTTGACGAAGGCGGCGTTGCTGACGAGGGCGAAGTGCTGCTTTTGACAGAGTGGGCGGTATTGACGGGCTTCAGGATACAACGTTTGACATGACGATTTAAGTTTGATGCAACACCGAAACGGCGGCCACAAATGTCGCACACAAACGCTGATACATATGTATTAGCTGAAGACTGAGCGGCGCCACTACACAGACTTAAGACGTACCTTTCTCCCCAGTGTGGACGAGGAGATGCTGAATGATTACGGCACGATACAATTGAGCGATTGATGTGTGCATAAATCGAACCACTTACCTTGCGTAGAGTTGATGGTCTGTCGAAGGACTTTTCACACATCCAACAACCGTGCTTCTTTTCGCGAGGACGAGTTCCAGACGTGAGTACGCCTTCAGCCTTTGTGGCAGCATGCCGACTCGGAGGGGCTATAGCGGGTGCTGCACGAATGTCCGCACTGATCGTGGTAGAAGGTGGGGCCAATAACGGACCTGAGAGTGGCGGTGCGGTATGCTTTGGCATTGAGGTCATGGAGGAAGGGTCGGAACTGGTAGGGGTCATGTAAAGGGAAGGCACAATATGGTTCATGGTCGGCGTCAATGTCGGTGTGCTTTTATCGGATGGAGAATACGGGAGGTGCGGCCGACAAAAGAAAGGAGTATGGTCCGACCACTCACATGGTGCTTGAGACCCGGGCTGGAAGTCATAGGAAGAAGGAGGAAACGGGGAGATGGTGGGTCTGGTGATCATGGCAGAAAGGCTTGAGGTCGACGGGTCTTCGTCTGGAAATGCATATCTGTGACAGAGGTCTTGGTGATATCCGTTGTAGATGGATGATCTTTCCAAGAAGTTTGCCACTGGATCTGGCTGGAAGGGGTGCGCCATATGGTGCTGGTAGAGGTACTCATCCTGTTGCTGGGCCTGCTGCTGCTGCTGTTGCGGATGTTGGGGACCAGCATACTGGGACGGGGCCGTCGACGTGGACTGCATCAGGGAGGGCCAAGTGGACATCGAGTATTGATGATGGAGATTTGAGAATGGTGGATATGCAACGGTATCTGTGGGTGTTTATATATTACCTGCTGGTTGGCGTTCGACCCTAAGGGTGCGAAGACATAACAAAACGAGGTTCATTCCATGACGGCCCAGACAACAGCCTTGAGTCGCTTGGGTATCGTTTATTTTACGACACAAAATTAGCCTTTCAACTCAGCGAACTTGCACTAGCTCTGGGACAAATGCCGGTGCCATGGCTCTCACATTCCTCAAGGTGGCCGGCACGAGCCCAAGAACATTGGCAAGAAGTAGCAGCAAAAGGAATAGCATTTCCATCGTTTCATCAATCACGGTTCTGATGGATGTCTTGTCGCGCGATAGTTCTTGTCTGTGCAAAGACCTGCCCGATAAGCTTACGGCTAGTTAGTTCTGAGACGAGGAATGATTCGAGCGTAGCAGGAAACGAGTGTATTCCCGGGAACAGATCGATGTCTATGATTCCATCTAGATTGCCCCAATGCAGCACGGAGAAATCGGGCATACCCGCTTTGGATCAATGGCTGCATGCTGGCCTCGTTGCATCCTCCTCGGAGTGCAGGTCGCTTGCCTCATACACATAGCTCACCGGTCGGGTTCTTCATATCCTTTTCATGATTCAATTGCTTTCAGACTGCTATCGACGATCTCGGCAACTTGGGAATTAAATGTGAACACTTCAACAAGCACTCGTCATGCCTAAACAGACATATTCGTCTTAACAAACTTCGAATACTGGCCGTGTGTCTTCCTCGAGGTCTTCTTCGAGGTCTTCCTCGTCCCATCCTCTCATTACGGCCCATAGCCGACTCTTCATTCTTCAACAAACCATCCACTGGCAGCGGCATCGAAATGGTCCAGAAATTACTAAATACCGCACGCCATGCTCACCTGTCACATTTTGAGCGGTGATAGCAACGTACAATAAATCAGACGTGTCGTTGTATGAGAATTTTGTATGTCATCCTTCGTACCTTATACAGCCTGTCCGCGGGTTTACTTTGGAGACCGGTGGCATTCCGGAGATCCAAGAGGGAAGTGTTTGTTTGGCTCTATTACTTGTCGGGGCCGCTGCCAAATGGGCGCAAACAACATCTTTTGGCGACAATCGCAATCCGCGCGTTTCAAGTTCACTGTTGAGATCGCGCGCGCCCGTGTCTTTCTCTCAGCACCTTGTAATCATGGCTATAACTACAGCACAGAAATCTGCTATTGAGGATATAATAAATATCATTATCTCTGCTACTCCAGCTCCTCCTTCTCGAGGCAAACGACGATTATCTGCCATGTTCATGGATTTAGTGGATAGAACAGAATGGCCGGAGTATTACGAGGTACGCGCCTGAGAAAGCTTTCTGAACACCTGTATTATATGACTTGATACAACACACACTTAGGTTATTCCAGAGCCTCGATGCATCAATGCCGTCCAGGCCAGTGTGGAAAAGAATAGATACAAGGACCCCTCGCACGCATATACAGACCTTTCTCTCGTGTTTTGGAACGCCATGTTTTACAACGAACCAACAAGTCAGATTGCCATGGATGCTGAGGCACTAAAAGTACGCGTCTTTTTTCCTCCTCTTCCTCGGCTCTCTATTTAGCGTTCACGCACACCGACTCGGATTCATTCTTCTGATGTAGACTATACTGGAAGCAGAATGGCAGAAGCGCAGCATTCTACCAATACCACGTCATTCTCCACCCCCGTCATCTCCTCAGAAAGTTCACGGCATTATTCCCGCACCTGTTCCAGAATCTACGACAGTACAAATCACGTCTTCGGTTAATAACCAAAAAACGACGCCTGTCGGACCTGCACCCGCCAGCTTAAGCATCAACGCTGAAGTGCGGACTCAGAAGCCTTTCCATCCTCGTTCAAAATCGCCTCAGCAAGTGTCTTCTCCCGACATGGAAGTAGACGTAAGCGGTATGTCGCCTGAACCTGAGGGACAGACAGAGGATATCAACATAGGAACTGGAGTTAGCGAGGAGAGAGACGCTGAGAGCGACGAAATCGTCAAGCAACTTGAGAAGGGTTTGCCAAAATGGGAAGGCTTTGGAGACAGTGGATGGATGTCCGAAGTCAGCAAGGTGTGTCTCGGCCTCAGGTATGCCTTGCATGATTTTTCTCGACTCACGTAAACTTCTGGATTTAATCATTAGGACCGCCTATTGGAAATTGTATATGCGATTAAGACTTACAAAGATGTTATGTACGTTTATCTCGGGCTTTTCCCTTTGATTACGTATCTCCTTTAATGATGTGTTTCGTAGTGGAAATCGACTTGCTGTCGCCCTTGAGGCCGTGCCAGAAGAGTCTACATCCACGAATTTATCCTTCCACGTCGGTAGTCACGTTGTTATACTTTTTCCGACTATCTGATATCACCTTTTCGTTCATAGTCACCGTTATCCCTGAAATCGATAGAGGTAGAACCTCTTCTCTGTACTTCAAGTTCTATTTTCTCAAGTGCTTCATTCAAGGGTCAGGTTCGCTCCCAAAGCTACGAGTCTTCGAAAGATTTTGATTGTGATATGGCACGCCTGTTTGAAAAGGCGAGGAGATGGCACGAGCCTTGTAGTGAGCCGTACGGTAGAGTACTTCTTCTTCAAGTAAGAAAGATCTACCTTTTCGCCGATGAATTCCGCTCCTAAATTTTTTGCATTCATGTCCAGCGCCTGTACCAAGCCCTCACGTCCTCCTCGCCACCACAGGGCCCCCCCTATACATCAACGACAAATTTTGCTTCTGTCCGTGCAGGGCCTGGAACGGCTCGCCCCCTTCACTCCACGGACTCGGAGGGTGTTCCTGGTGTTACTACTTTCCGCGTTTCGACAAAAGATCGCTCCTTTGTTGAAGAGGTACATTACAAGGGCTGGAGCATACGCCTTGCAGACTGGCTGCATTTGTCTAATCCAGACGACCCGAGTCGCCCTATTATTGCTCAGGTATTCAAATGCTGGGTGTCTGACGAACCGTAGGTAGTCGCGCCGTTCCCGCTTGGCATGATCGTTAATTACCTTCTTTCTTGCCATGAAAGGACAAAGAAGGGACAGCCTGGTCTTACGATTTGCTGGTACTACCGGCCTGAGCAGGTGTGTGGATCGCTATCTATTTGATTACATGTATGTAATTCATATGCGGACATTCGTAAGACTTTCCATCTTGCTCAAAGACTGTTTTGGGAAGGCGAAGTCTTCAAAACCAGTACGCCGCGATGGTTAAAGTTCCGCCGCTGTCCCGCTGACAATTCTTCTTCAGGCCACTTCGCCGACCACCCACTTGAAGACGTAATAGAAAAGATAGCCTGTCAGTTTACTGCGAGGCATATCCGCGGCCGCCCCCGTCCCCCATTCTGGTACCCTGGCTGGCCCCTGTACGTGTGTGATTCACGTTATAACGACCGTGAACGGGTATTTGTGAAGATTAAGAATTGGAATTCGTGTGTCCCAGAAGAAGTGCGGAAGAGCACGGAGTTCATGCCCATATACCCTTTCGAGCGTGTCGTTTTCCCTAGAAGGTTTCCTAGTCCCTTTTTAGCAAAGGGAGGTAAAGTGGGCGCCGTGAAAGGTCCAGGGGGCATCACAGAGAACGTGGAAAAATCGGAGGCAGAGAAAGCCGAAGGTAGTTCAACAGCCAGGAAAAGACCAAGGCGAGCTGCCGGGGGCGCTGCGGGAGGAGGACCAGATCACGCAGGCCCGAGTAAAGGCCTGTACGTCGGGGCGCCTTCTGGACAAGGAGCTACTGCACCCCCAACCACTGTGTTTCACTATCCGCCGCCACAGCAGACTCAGCCTCATAGGTCTCAACCGAACACCGACGATAGTCGTGACAGGACCCTATTAACTGCTGCTGCTGGAAGTACGGGGGCTGCCCCTCTCATAGAGAAGCTCCCAGCAGAAACAAGTAAGCGTTATGAAAGTATGGGCACATTTGTAATTGACAAGATCTTTTTTTCATAGCCAAACACTTCGATCGTTCTCCAGAAACGAACGAGATATTTTGGTTCTCTGCGCCCCCTATGAACATTCCACGTCCTCCGGAACCTAAGCATAGCCTTGCTTACTTGCATTTCCTTGCAAGCAAAAAGAAGAATGAAGCTATCTCTAACGACAACGGCATGGACGTTGACGATGATTTGCCAGAGGCTCCCGCGAAGCGGCAATGTGTAAAGGTGCCTCCCACTGTTACTGCAACTCTGCACTCAGTTCTGGCAGAAATGACAAAACCGACAGTCTAATTTTTCCCCATTGTCAAAGTATTTTTCTGATGTGTATAATACAATCCCCCTAATTTGACCCTTCTTGTTCAATGCACTTCCAGGTCATGGTCGGCTAAGTTGGCCCGACCTTATTGTTTACATCGGGCCGTGGAAGTTCTTCCCCCGTGTCTTCCTCGTTATCGACATGTCTCCTCTTACGCAACCTCTACCTTAATCTCAACAATATTTCGTATCATTCTTCCGTACAAGGATCTGATAACCCCCATCATTTCCCTGCATTTTCCTTTATCGTTAATATGACGCATGGTGTTAGGCAGGTCTTTTGACTCACTGATTATGCCTCCTGGCACCACGAAACCATGGCTATCGGTAGGCTCCGACTCCCACTCAGAGTCCATGAGTGTCTCCATTGCGACCTTTCCCCACATTTTCCATGGCACTGAATTCAGCCACAGTATCCTTGTCCAGGATAGCTGAGCACTAACATCGCCGATTTCATCCCAGTCAACACCTTCTAGGGCAGATGGGCAGGTGAGAACAGCTACCAGGGACAAGTCGCTTGATAAAGGGCCAGGTGTGATTCAACGCGACATCGATGCTGATTCGTCTTGTGCTACGAGCTTCCATATGCCAGGTTTGATGGCCTCGAACTAGCCGCCGTTGCCTTTTGAGAGCACGATGCCCCCCCCCCCCCCCCAGCAGAGTACCTGATGAACCTTGACCAACTTTTTGATTGGTGAGTTTTTGGGTATTGGTGGTCCGCTGTTCAGTACTCTTTCACCTAGAATACACTGCATTCAGGGCTACTGTTCAATTCGCTGATGTGTGCCGTTATTCCGGTCATCCATGCGTGCATTGAATCTTCGGTGATGATATCAGATTGTTCGGAGTCAGAGTGGTATTAGTTGAGGTAAGTGGACTGCTAGTCTTGTCCTATAGATATTTCATTCCTGGTCGCGCAGGCGTTTGTAATCAATTCATCAGAAAGGGTTTATAGGTTCCCCGCTGGCTGCTATGCACCTGTCACCGCCAAGAGTCTAGTATTGCATATGACGGACGACGAATGGGTCTAATGGGTGACATAGGTCCAGGAGGGTGTTCGAGTCTTTCGAGTCAGGAGTACAATAGCTTGACTCATAAATTTGTCCATACAATATAAAGTGTAACCTATGTGAAGCGGAAGCTATACCTGGTCATGTCCCCAGCAGTAATTACCAATGGTGATAGCGCTTCGGGCACCCCTGGCATCAAAGTGGCAACACAGCAATATACACCAAGCTTTACAGTAGTCTACATACAATGTGATCAAGTCAAATGCACATAATGCATGCAAGGTAATGCTTGCTGCCCACCCTGCAAATTGGCTAGTGCCAATGGAACTCTCAATTGTAGTAGTGAACTGCAATACAACATTCCCACAAACTAAGTCCTTCAATTCTAGTGGCTTGTTCAGATCAAAATCACGGGATGACATTGGAGTAGGCCAACATAGGAATCAGAAAAAAATTGAGGATTACCTAAGCATTGTAATAATGAGACTCCGAGGGCGGAGTTAGAATCCATCTCTTGGAGATGCTCCTACTACTACTGCAACATTCACACTTTAAAAGAGTGAGTTGGGGGTAACATTGCACAAAGAAAAAGAGGTTATGAACTTGTGGTCTGCAGAAAATCAAAATTATGGGGAAAGCTTGTTGGAGCATACAGTTTAGGTTTGCAATACAGAATATATTCCAACCACACGTGACTCTTTTCTTTCTCATATATAGATTCTCTTCTCGTTCATTTATTCCCCTCAGTTATTCTGTGTACAACTGAGGGTATGTTTTATATATATTTCCCCCTCATTATCATTCAAACTAATACTCTATAATGTAGCCCTGACTGTTCCTACGTACAAATATACAATTGTTCTGTGTACAACTGAGGCCCTGACTGTTCCTAGTTTCAACAAAGCTAAAACATTGAACTCTGCATTTTAAAAAGTAGAGTAGACATGCACATGGAAATGCAGAAAAAAAGGAAGATTATAGGTAACATTAATTACTTGGTATTTGGGGCAAAGAGCTGGCACAAAATCTAGTGAGTCTAGTAGTGGCATTTATCAAAAGGCAGACCTGGTAGCCTACCATACCAGGAATAGATCTTTTCAGATTTCATAACTGGGCTATCACTTATATAGAATCATCAAAGGTGTTAAAACAGTGATAAACTAGTTTCACATGTTGTTCCTTATAATATAAAGTAAACCATTAGAAAAATTTGTCCTCAAAACAATCAGCTACAGCCACATTATATCAGTCATATTGTTATAATACACAATTTTTGGACCTTTAAGTCTCTGCTTTAAACTTTTTTTCTTTATTTTCACACACTGTGCCATATGGCACTTTCCTTTTGTTTAAACTCCACTTTCTCGTGCTGCACTGCTTTCCTTTATTTATAGATACAAGTCTCTCACGCAGTGGAGCTGGTCACATGGGCTGTGCCCTATGATATTATCAGCCACTGCCTTCATCAAACTGTACAGTACACATGTACAAACAAACTGTAGTAGTATAAATACCCAATAGATCCAGGAGACTCCTCAGCAAGTCCTCCTGTTGTTTACCCACAACTAACTTGGTCCTAAACCTAAGGGAGTTTATCCAATCTCTCACTCACTCCTCTCTGCTTGTTCTTTCTGTGCGCCAGAGTATAAAAACTTTGGTTGTTACACATATGGTGCTTGACCTCTTTCATTGAGCTTTGAGGTGTACCCAAAGGTTGGCTGTCCATGCTTCACATTGATGATGCCCGATCATATTGTATGGGCAACAACACCAAGTAATGCCTGATGTAATGCATTAAAATCCCATAAAAGTAGGACAATATTGCCTTCATAATCTCTACTGGTAGTTCATGTGGGAGTGCACATGCAGATATTGTAGATTATAACCCATTTACCTGGAATTCATATTCATGAGAAGATATTGGATAGTCTTGCAAGATTTCCAGTGACTTTCTGCAAATGGGACAGCAATGCTTGGACATACCCAATGCCTGCTGTTACAATTGACATACCAGCACCTACTTTACACTTTACTTTTACTGACTTTTACTTATCATTTTCCAAGTCACGTGACTAATCATGTGACCATTTACTTTACTTTACATTTTGGACTTTTCATAGTCACATGACCAATCATGTGACACATCACCTTCCAGTGTCTACCAACATTAGTATGACAACCTCCCTCTCTTGATGAGTTGGACCACTATTCCTTTGAGTTGTAGCCTCTATGGTTGTGCTCCAGTGCCCCAAACTATTTGTACATGTGTACTATACAGTTGATGAAGGCAGTGGTTGATGATGTCATAGGGTACAGCCTGTGTGACCAGCTCCACTGCGTGAGAGACTTGTATCTAAAATAAAGGAAAGCAGTGTAGCATGAGAAAATGGAGTTTAAACAAAAGGAAAGTGCCGCATGGCACAGTGTGTGAAAATAAAGAAAGAAAGTTAAAGCGGAGAGTAAAAGTTAAAGGTCCAAAAATTGTATATTGTAATGACCTACCTTTGGAGTGGTATCGCTTGTACCCTACGTACACGCATTGAAGGAAGACTTCTCGCCAAAGACCCTGTCAGAAACCCATCCAATACATTTACTGTGCATGAGACAAAATCTGCTGCAGAAGCCTTACTGCAGAGAGATTGCTTTGACACCAACCCGGCTTATTCCGACAATGAAGACAACAAGTCTGACTCTACAGACCACGATAATGACACTGAGTCAAGTGACTCAGAATCATCTGAATCTGAAGGTGATACTGGGTCACACAAGCAACAGCTGAAGAAACTGGAGAAGAAAACAGAGAAGCTGGCTAAGAAAAAGAGCAAGAGAATTACCAAGGATTCTGATGATAAAGACACTTCAGTCAACCTCTTTTCATAGCCTCTTAGGTTGATCAGGTATAGTTCAATGATGTGGCTAAGAGGCTTTTATCCTGGGATTATCCCACATGCAGATAATCTATACAGGACACTCTTAAATTAAATTCATCCAAGGGGTATTTAGGAATCCTAGGACTTCAAAGTGGTGCCAGGGGTCCTTATATTGATTAAAATCTCAAAAGTTATATATCCTATATTATTACAAGGTAGGACTATTCTTGGATGTTCCAAATTCAAAAATATCTCATAATAGGTAACAAGGTGTCCTTTAGGGTTTATATATGTGGTAGTCTAAATATGTCCCAGATACTCCAATAGGATGTCCTCATTGTACACTAAATGTCCTTTAGGAGTACTTGTATACTGTCCATAACATATAATGAGACTATTTTGGAATATCATTAGGTACTCCCAAAGGACATCCAAGATATAATAAAAATATCCTACTAAACTATTTGAAATACCTAGTGGGATATAAGTAGTATTCAGGGTAGTCTTTATTGGATATTGTGGACATTATACAGATACTCCTAAAGAACATCCAGAATATGATAGGGATATTTTAGATAACCATTGAGACACCAGCAGTGCAAATGTTAGTTCCTTTGGATATTTTAAACACTATTTAGTACCTTTCAAAAACATCCATATATAACTTAAAATATTTTAGAGGACTTACTAAGATACCAGCAGTACAAATCATAGTCTCATTAGATTTTTTAGATAATATGTATAATGCTATTAAAGGACAGCAAAAGTAAATTAGGGACATTCTACTAGAGCAACTGGGATATCTAGTGAGAAATAAGTGTAAGGACCATTTATTATCTTCTTATCTTCTCACTCCATGTCTTGGTTCTCGAACACTTTTCCTGTTATACCTCTGGCTCTAGGGCTAGAGGTATCTTTTGCTATCCTGTTTCTCATAGCCCTCACAGGCTTTCTTAATCATCATTATCACTTTGTATCGCAGATCAGAGACTGGGTATCACTCCCAGCCAGCCAGCACAATGGGTAAGGACTGATGGTAGACATCTCACCAACCAGCTCCAAACCCCATCAGTGCCTGGAGATATTAATAGACACTTTATTCAGGATCGTACCTCATCATGAGGATACGGTTCCTGAACATGCATGACAACACTTATTATTAGTACACTTTCTCACCTGCTGATTAATCTTCAAAATTGTACGATAGTTATCCTTTTTCTTATCGGTTGGTTTCCCCCTCAGACCACTTTTCTCTTATTCCTCTTTCGGTCTGAGGGATAGACGGTTAGCTATAAAAATCCTACACACTCATATATAGTTCTTTAGCTTTCTATTACTTGAATTATCCACTTCACTCCTCATCAGAAACCTTTGAGTTTAAATCCCAAATCCTCTACTTGCTATATTTATCAGCATCTGTCAACCTCCAAACTCACTGTACCTCTTACTCCCTGCAAGTGCAGTCAGAAATGGGTATTGCTTTTGTGACTCTCACAAAATTTATAGATACAATATGGTTGATATAGATATACACTGGAATACCAACAGTAAAAATAATAATATCTTTGGGTTTTTTGGACAAAATGTGGATATTCTTGAAGAATATCTATAATACAATAGAGACATCCTACCAAAGTATTTGAGATACCCAGTAGAAATAAGGGATATTTTAAATAACCATTGGGACACTAACAGTACAAATATTAGCTTTATTTGGTTATTCTGAACACTATTTGGTATTCTCATAGGATTTCTAGGTAAAATCTGGGTGCCTATTTGGAATACCAATAGTGCAAAAAGTAATTTCATTTAGTCTTCTGGACAATATATGGATAGACTATAGGAACATTTTGGATAACCATTGAGAAACTAATAGTACTTATATTAGTTTCCTTGGATATTCTTAAATATATAGTGGAATATAAGTAGTACCCAACGTGGTTATATTAGATACTTTCAACACCATTTGGTACTCCCAGGGGATATCCAGGTATAATATAAATATTTTTATAGCCATTAGGATACTAATATTAGATTCATTTGCTTTTATTTATTGAATACTATGTAGGTATAGGTACACTGAAAGGATATTTAATTTATAATAAGGATATCCTTTAGGGGTATTTGTAGTATCTACAAAAATAATATCTAAAGTAATTATATTACATACTTATGGATGCTGTATAGTATTCCCAAAGGATATCCAGGTAAAGTATAATAATTTTGTATGACTAATAGAATACCAGCAGTATTAATAGGTGTTTTATTAAATCTTGTGGGTAATAGCAATAGATATCCAGGTACAATAGGGACATCCTGAAGGAGTATCTGGTATAGCCAGTGGTCTCATTGGATGTTGTGAACATTATGCAGATACTCCAAAAAACCATCCAGAAGCATAATAGGGATATACTATTAGTTTTTGGATACTATCTGATACTCTTGAAGGACACCTATAAATAAACAAGGATATTCTAGAGGACTATTGGGACACTAGCAGTAAAAATAATAGTCTTATTGAATTCTCTTGACAATAGATGGTATTCTCAAGGATATCTATAGTATTATGAGGATATCCTACTCAAGCATTTGGGATGCCTGGTGGGAAATAAATAACACCCAAAATAGTCTCATTATATGTTATGGACAGTATACAAGTACTCCTAAAGGACATTTAGTGTACAATGAGGACATCCTATTGGAGTATCTGGGACATATTTAGACTACCACATATATAAACCCTAAAGGACACCTTGTTACCTATTATGAGATATTTTTGAATTTGGAACATCCAAGAATAGTCCTACCTTGTAATAATATAGGATATATAACTTTTGAGATTTTAATCAATATAAGGACCCCTGGCACCACTTTGAAGTCCTAGGATTCCTAAATACCCCTTGGATGAATTTAATTTAAGAGTGTCCTGTATAGATTATCTGCATGTGGGATAATCCCAGGATAAAAGCCTCTTAGCCACATCATTGAACTATACCTGATCAACCTAAGAGGCTATGAAAAGAGATTGACTGAAGTGGATGAAGATACCATTCATCAAGACACCAGGAGGACCATACAATGGAAACAACCTGCTGAAATCCAGAAACTCCCTCAGAATGAAGTAGAATCTCTCATAAAGCAGCTCAACTCTATGTTTTTGGATGATCCTAGCTATAAACTTCTGTATTTTTGAGCAGTAAAGCTTGATATAGAAGTCAAGAACGTAGTTAGACTACCCATTCTCAGGAATACTCCAGGGAATGGCAACATCAATTCCAAAGATATTTACAGTAGAGACAAAATGGGAGAAACTACAGGACAAAATGGAACATCTATTCCATATAATCAGTCTGGTAGTCCAACTCTACAAGACCCAAACAGAAGCAGACCTAACTATTTTGGATGTAGAGCAAGGGCATAACTTATGTAACTACCCTCAGATCAACGATCTGATTAGCAAAGGACAACTAGTCAAAGATAACTGGGGAAAATCCATATGCCCGGAGGAAGGATACTCAACAGGAAATATAATGAAACTACAGTCTCTGCATGCACGAGGATGCAAATTTTGCCAGTACAACAAAGAGAGTATAAAGCAGCCAGCTAAAAGAGTACAGCCACAAGTACTCACTCCTATAAAGCTTAAAAATGATGGCATGTCTACCCAGAAGACACCAAACAAAGGGTACTTGTCAACTCCCATTGATGTGTACAAACCTACACACAATATCCATGATGATGATGTTATCATGGAAGATGTAAAGCCAGCAAATGTAACGACCAAGAGTTTCTTACTCTGGCGCACAACTCAGATAAGCAAAAAAGAAGAGAGAAAGGGATCACCCCTTAGGTTTCAACGGGTTTGTTGTGCTAGACAACAGGAGGACTCGCTGAGTCCTTCCCCATGTATTGCTCCTGTATATATGTATATATACTAAAATACATGAGGTACTGTACAGTTGTAAATAGAGTTTAAAGTCCGATGTCTAGCATGTGACCGGTCACATGATGAGTCTAGACATTGGTCAGGTGTTGCATCACATGGCTTGATCATGTGACTATGAAAAGTCGAAAATGTAAAGTAAAGTAAATGGTCACATGACTGGTCATATGACTTGGAAAAATAAAAGTAAAAGTATGAAAAAGGTGAAGTGTAGGTAGGTACTGGTACGTCAATTGTAACAGCAAATCATATAGCTGGAAAGCCAGACACCAAAAGTAGACCTCTCACCCCCAAGAAGGATGTGGTCTATAATCCACAAAAGTTTCTGTCCAGTGTGAGCAATATTTTGACAGACTGTTTGAAAATTGTGGAAGCAATTTCAAAACAGCCTGATAATCCTGCTGAGCTCATGGGAAGTCAGGAGAACATAGAAGAGTCAAATATCAAAATGTTGAGACATCAACTCATTCCCATTCCCCCCCCCCTTAAAAATGTCCACACAAGAAAATCCCACTTTACAGCCTATTAAGCTGGATCACTATGTCCCTAACAATGTTGCTCCAAGGCCCTTAATCCTTGAGCCACCCATCTGGGAGGGTGTCAATGGACACTCACATGCCAAGACTATTAGTTATGCTATGGATGATGTCCCTTTTCTCACTAGGAATGGCTATTTCTATGACACAGTGGTTAATTCGGGTCAAACATTAAAAATAGGAGAAAGTTTGGATTGTACTGACTACCTATTGCTAAACTCAGCACAGTACAGCCAATATGGTCCAGATCCCCAGCTCAGCATCAATTACGGTCACGCAATACTGAGAGTCTTCAACATTTCTGGAACCAGTCTCATTTTAAACCTGGTTCATTTTAATCTGCCGAACATTCATTTTGAAGAGGTGCAGACTTTTCTCAAGAGTCTACAACAGTTCTCCTTTGTTGTAAGTACGATAAGACGTGAGTGTGAATGGAAAATAAGAAAAAGGATAAGAGTAATAGGACACCAGTTGTAATCTCTAGTCCAAGGGCGAGAGGAGTGACAGGGATGAATTGGATAACCACAACATGATGGGAATGCAATGAGAAAAATTGATTCCTCACACCTATAAGTAACAAGGTTTGATACTCAGTGAATGATGTTGAAGAATAAACACATATGCATATTTGAAATTGTATCAGCACTGTGCTGGAACCTCTCCTGCATATCCCTATCTGTCACACCAGTGTCACACATTTGGAGAAAGATAACAAGCTGCTCCTCTGTTGAGATATGCTTGGAGTGACAAAACCTGCATAATCCTTGAGCTCTTGAATGAGCCTACAGAGAACTGGCTTGAAAAGCCCTGTCATATCATGGAATCAATGAGGATGTCCACATAATAGCTCCCTAACCCAAGCATGACCAGTTAAAATTGAATTATGCTGAGGTGATTTAATAAGAGATGATACTAAAGCCAGTGATACAGCAGCAGCAGCTGTGGCTGAAGCCATGGAAGCAGCCTTCCTTTGTTGAGCATGAGATGACTTAAGGAGCGCCAAGGCAGCTGCTTTCTTTTGAGAGGAGGATGTGAGCATGATGGAGGTTCGGGGGAAGGAAAACCACTATCTACTGTTGTTAACCATCAGTTTGGATACGGGGGGGGGGCTATTAGGACATTTCTGAAAACATACATTCCACTGTCATTTTTCCTTAACGACTTAAATCCATAGCAGTCCTGTGTATTCTTACAACTTATTCCAACTTTCCTAGCACAAAATCCTGAACTATTGAGTTAATAATCTAAATGAAACTCAGCTGCTGCCTAAGAGGCTATAGACACGACTTAATTATTTACCTAAGTGAAACTACAATAGATGTTAGTTTAAGGTGATCTCTAATAAATGTAATATAACATACCTCAGCCGCTGCTTAAGAGGCTATAGAAACGACTGAGGTATTCCTATACTAAACCCCCTACTACTTATAGTCAGAGGTGCTACTCACTACAGTATAATGACTCGTAGGAGAACAATGGTGACTCCATGAAGCAGCCATTATGCTCCATGGAGAACAATGGCTGCTTTAGCAGAGACTGGGTTTATCCAGTTTTGTCATGAGTGAGTTCATGTGCATGTGAAAGTAACGCTCTAATAAGGTACTGCAATCTCAGTTTCAAAAATTTCAGGTGCGCCACACTCAAAATCGAGCGCGTGACATAGTGTGACATAGCGTGAGAAATTCCGTTTGCCTCTCAGCTCATTCAAAACGAGAGCGTTTTCACGGCTCTCGTTTTGAAACGGTGGCTGCCAAACGGGCCTCACAATCGTTTCCCACCACGCCCTATCACTCCTTTCACATCCTCTTTCCTCGCTCACGATGGGGCTTCAGTTCGGCTCTTTCGACAGCGTATGCTCGACGGCGGCGCTCGTCATTTGTCCTATGCTAGGCGCATCGTCACAGGGTATCGAACCTTCGTGTTACAGCAGAAACGTGCAGATCGGGTCAACCCTTATATTTCAACCTTGTCAGTCTACACGTTCTGAATCACAGGTACCGCTGACCTAGACATTACCTTCAGCGACGTCCTTCATTCACATAATAGCAATCATAATGACAGCTATTATGATATACCACATTCGTAGCAAGTACACCGCGGTCGGCAAGTGCCTTTTTGCTCAGGATACCGTTCTGTTGCTGACGATGACGGTTTGCAATGACAGGTCGCAAAGAAATTGTGATGTTCTTTTGGATGTATATGCTTATACAATTCCTTGCGTTGTTCCTCGACTCTGGAGTAATACCAACATCAAACGTTAGCTACCCTGTAAGTCCGTATTTCACTCACTTTCGTTACTCTTCCCAGAGTGATTGTGTTTGATGCCGACTTTACTCTCACTTGTCTTCTCTTTTTTGTCAACACACTAACGGTCTGCATCATAGTGGTTTGCTGCGGTGTACTCGGGCCTCGTGTCAGCAATTTACTGTTGTTTGTTGATCAATGGTTTCGTCGGCTTCCAGTTCGCAGAGGATGGCACACCTGTGTCGCTATGGGTATGTCTTTCATCTCGTCCAATAAGTCGTTTCACTAATCTCCTGTGCAATGTTTAGCTTCTGCGCCTGTCAACTCTGGCAATATTTGGTCTTTCGTTCTTCATATCGATCGCGACCTTCAAGTCGCTCGCGTCTTTCTCTCCGAGCAAACCCACAGCGCTATTCGTCATCTATCTCATATGGCCAATAATTTGTGTAGTCACGTATACGCTCTCGCAATTAATCCTCGTCTTTCGCACGCTGGATGACCGATGGCCGTTGGGCGACGTCCTATTTGGAATCGGGTTCTACACGGTGGCACAGGTTCTATTGTTCGCTTTCAGCGTCACGATATGTAATGCAATCCAACACTACCTGGACGGACTGTTCTTCTTTGAACTGTGCGTCTTGTTGAGTGTGATGATGGTTTACAAATATTGGGATAGTATCACGGTTAGTCATATTCCTCCTTTCCCTCCACTTTGCCCTTGTCTAAACAAACCTTGCACTACCGGCAGCGCGAAGACTTGGAATTTTCTGTCGGGTCAAAAGCGGCCGTATGGGAAATCAAGGACCCTCTCCTGGCAGGATCGTACGAAGATTCGAGCGATGCTGGATTTGGCGCCAATACGAGCAGCGTTTATCACGGTGGCGGTGGTTACGGCAATGGATCCCAGTACGGCGGCAATGCCCAAAGTATGTATGGAGGACCATCGCCAAGTCTGGTAGGCGGGCTCAGTGGAACGCAGATGTATAGCGGCGCTGGTGCTGGCAAGGGTGGATATGGCGGAAGAGGATATCCGCCTAATAATGCCGAGCGCTACTGAGCGCTACCAGGGTGTAATATAAATAGAGAGGGGAGTGCCAGGGAAGAGAAAGAAGTCTACGAGGAAAATACATGAAAGTACGTACATATGGTCGCGATGGACCATTGCCAGTGCTACGGACTTTGGGGGCCTAATGCGGTACTGCACCTGGCGTATCTTCTTTATTGGCGCACAGCGTATTTCTCTTGCATCTCATGGAGTATAATGAAGCATGGACACTTGAAGTACTACATCTGCTTGTCGATTTGGTTTAATTCATCTTTATTTTTTTTTGTTGACAAAACTGTTTTATCTCCATGGTTCTAAATGTAATGTGCTTTTATGTTAATGATCTTATCTTCTAAGATGGTAGATACAGGCGTTCGTACAACACTCCCGAAAAGTCATTGAGGTGGTCCCTTTCCCAAATGCCATATATTGATATAATTTAGAGCATGGTAACATCGCAACAACGTTGGCTTCTTCGCGCACCCGAATTAATGTGACTCATGCATAAGTATGGTAACCGTAGTACATAGTATCGGCGTCGAACATTTTTTCCGTCTACATCTTCTTCGATGGGGATTACAGGTTTTGCAGCTGATGCTCTACGGTCTCTAAGCACTGCTCAGCGATCCTTTATCGAATCCCTTCCCAAAGCTGAGCTACACGCGCATCTGAATGGATCGATACCGATTGAGACATTGCAAGAGCTTGCTAAGGAGTATACCATCGATAGCGATGATGGTATGTCCAGCACGCTCCCTCCCGACATCCAAACTGGCCTAGCGCGTTTGCAGTCTGGTCCCACTCTGTACGACATCAATTCTTTCTTTCCGCTCTTCCCTGCCATATACTTCCTCACATCTACACCACGCACCCTTGCACGTGCCACGCATGCTGTCCTAGATTCCTTCCTTGGTCCGACACCATCACCTTCTGAATCGACGGGGCAACTTCCTCCGTCGTCGCCCCAATGCACTTACCTCGAACTGCGAACAACTCCACGTGCAACTACAGCTCTCACGTTCGCCTCGTATCTCGATGTAGTTCTCGCAGAGATCGAACTCTATCCCCCCGAAAAAGCTGCGCTTATTGTTAGCATTGATCGGAGGATGACGGTTGATGTCGTAAAGGAGATTGTAAAGCTTACGATCGACTTGAAGGAGCAAGGAAGGAGAGTGGTAGGGGTTGACTTGTGCGGAGATCCGTTGGTGAGTGACTGTGGGTTGTACTATCGCTTGAGTCATGGTGTAGAGACGGGTCACTTCATGGTCTATGACATCCACATGGGGCAGTATATGTACTTTACTTCTGATAAACGCGTATCTATTGAGGTCTGTGCTCATGTTATCCAAAGGCAGGCAATATGCACGAATTTGCGCCTCACTTCAAGCGTGCAAAGGAAGCTGGCTTGGGTATCACCCTTCACATAGCAGAGGTATGTCTAAACATCCGTTCGTTAATCTAATTGATAGATTTACAACTTCACGCGATCTTCGTTGATTTTGGTTTATCCTTAAAAATATGTCTGTGCTTACATACCCGTCTAACTGTAGACCGTGACGAATCCTGCCTCCGAGACGCTCCACTTCCTCTCATGGTCCCCCGATCGACTCGGGCACGCCACCTTCCTCAACGAAGATGCCAAAGCCATAGTCATGCGCGACAATATATGCGTCGAGATATGTCTCACGTCTAATCTGTTGTAAGTGGGAGAACACATATATATGCGCGTAATTTAGTGTGACACTTTCATTGATGTGGTTGTATCTTTCTGCAGGTGTAAGACCGTGTCGACACTCGAAGAGCACCATATTCGACATTACCTTCGGAATAACCATACCATTGCTATCTGCGTACGTCGTTTATCCTGCTTCCTCGATACCTATCTTCTCTATGTGCTCCCTCTCGATCTCTTCACCCCCACTCCTCCTGCTTTCAAGGTATATATGCTCAGCTGACTACATCCTTTTCACTGCTCTGGTTTGGCTTGATACGGTTCACTTCGTGTCTCCGCGAACTGTCCAAATGGTTTCCCTCTCGGTTACTAACTCTACATACTTGCTTATCTTTTCCTGATCCGATGCCTTTTACCTCTGGACGCCTTTATACATCTACTGTATATTTACTAAACAGACCGACGATACACTTCCATTCCGCAATTCCCTTCCAGGCGAATACGCGCTTCTTCTCGCTACGCCCCCACTTGGTCTCGGCCTTTCTGAGGCGGAGGTCGAGCGAGTGGCGAAGATGGGGATGAGTGCGCGGTTTGGGTGCGGGAGTGGACCTGGACCGTCGGATGACGCTGTGACGGTGCCAGATACCTGATGCGTACCTCACTCAAGATTTTCCAATGGATAGAGAAGGAGCGTGTGTTCGACGGTGACAACGCTCTACGACGATATTTTCATATATATTCAACTCACTTCTGTATCTGTACAATCTATTCAAATGTACTATAGGATAAACTAGCTCACAGCCATACCTCCCAACTCATTTCTCCTGTACTCATTACACCGCAAGGTTTTATCTGGAATAAAATATTTGCAATGCTGTTGCAATAGCGGTAATAGCTTCTTTACATTAGAAAATTTCATCCTAGTACTATCAAGCAGAGCTGTCATCAAAATTGCAATAAAAATAAGAAGTTACTCCGGATCTTAGCTACCCATCGAGGGACGGGGTACCGTGATGCGAGATTGAGGTGACAGCTTTCAAAATGGAGGAAAGGATACTAAAATGCAATAGTATTTCCCTAAGCCTTGTCCTCACATTCTTGCAGCTCTTCATTTTCGAATTTCTTGTCAATGGACAGTTTATCCTGTCAATGATAGAATTTTACAAATTGACATGCGCAAGACGTTGGGGCCAATAGTTAATAGCAACTTTGGCCATGTTCACCCAAGGTAAACAGTTTGTTCTTTCTTGCTCCGAGGTGGAAATAATGGAATGAAGATCCGAACGTCAAGAAGATCATCTACTGTATAGCTCAGTGATAACACAACAGCACTGTAGCGACATGTAGTACAACTGTCAACTGCATAGATACTAGATATAGACAAGAAAATCCGACCTGTGAAAAACATTCCGCTAGGTATACACCCGCACGCCTTCCTTCCTTTGACAATCTTTACGTTCCGGGTATGTCCTACAGTTGTAAACCACTCCCTCACAGTTCGGGTGGTATGAAAAAATCAAAATCAAGTAGATCCCAGCTTAGATAAGACAGACGGTCAAAAACCATCTCAGATGCCTCGCCCGCCTGTAACCTCCAGGGTGTGTCCAGAGACGTATGATGCGAGGGGTGATGCAAGGCTACAGTGACAACAAAGTCAGTATACAGGACCCAATAACGACATAGTCAATGCGTCAGTTAGTCAAGAGGTGGCTTACAAAAGCATTCCAGCAGCTGCTTCATCTGCCGTTGCCCCACGACGTAATGGTATATCTGCAAACGCCGTCACTGCGTTGGGGTTACTAGCGCCCGTCACTGGCGGACGTGCACCAGGGATTCCAAGAGCGACTTTCTTCCCGTCAATCTCGATCGAGGCGCCACCCTCTTTGGCAGCTGTTAGCCTGTGTGAGGGACATTGAGCCTGCGAAGACAGACAAGACAGGGAAGAACGCGTAAATCACCTGGTGTGCACGAGGCCATAAGCAATCGTATTTGCGCGCACGCCGAATGGACCCCATTCCTTCGCGATTGTTTTGGTAACGCCGACGACAGCGGATTTGGCAGCTGCGTAGTTGACTTGTCCGACGTTTCCGTGTAGCCCAGAAGTTGAGGATACATTGATGATGGACCGATTTGACTGGTCCTATGGAAATTGGCCCGTTAATGAAACATCAAACTTCATGTGCGATGGTAGGGGGCATACCTTGATTCGGAAATAGGGAGCTGCTTCACGTACGAGACGGAAGGGAGCGCGAACGTGAATTTTCATGATCACATCGTACACATCGTCCGGCATTGTGTGTATCATTTTGTCATATGTGAAGCCAGCTACGAGCATTGACGGTGATATGGTATCAGCTGTTAACGCCGCACATACATTGTCAAGACATACCGTTGTTTACAATGTGGTTTATCTTTCCGTATTTTCTACGGAAGGCGCAGGTAAGCGGTGAGTTGACATGCCTGTGTACTAGAGGAAGGAAAGAGCTTACTGGACTGTAGCACCAACTACTCGTTTCGGGAAATCATCCGCACCGACATCACCTGCAACAGCGATTGCGTCGCCGCCTGCTGCAACTATTTCTGAGACGACAGCTTGTGCTTTTGTCGCGTCAAGGCTAATCACGGTGTAAATCAATTGATAAGGTGGAGATACGTAGAGGCAGAGACATTCAACATGGTGAGCTGAGTGGAAGAAAGAATAAATTGACTGCTCACTCGCTGACCACGACTTTTGCGCCTTCTTTCGCAAACAAAAGAGCCGCGCAACGTCCGATACCCTACAAGTCACAGTCCAATATGCCAAAATGAACAATCCGTCATTTTATAGCAGACAATCTAAGTGATTCTTACCTGCCCAGCGCCTACATAGCCCACCATAGATGTATTTGAATTTACAAGTTAGCTGATTGTACTAAGTAACGTTGTGCTGTCACTAGCCTGTGATTATAGCCACTTCCCCAGCTAGAAGTCCCCTTCCGTAGGCATTTGATATGTGTCCTGATACTTGTGCCAAGCGGTCAGCCATGATGCTTGTGATGTTTCTGAGCTTGGGTTGAGATAAAGGATGTGGGGAATGTGAAGTTGCCAGTGGGACCTCTGGGCTGGTACTTTATTCATTTATTACCGGGGTCGGCCTCGGTAATGTGGCCGAGTCGGCTACTTTACCTCCAACGTGATTTTCAACCGGAACCAATCTGAAGTTTTGGTGTTCACTTGTTATTATCGATGATTATGCTAATTTTTCGATCTCATAGTCGACTATGATCACCTATCTATCACCTTGAATCCAAAAAAAACCCGTCCAGCGAGTATTTCCACAAGTATTTAAAGTCACAGTGCTCCCACACATCTCTTCTTTACTCCTGCCTTCGTGTGTACACCTCTCCCCTTGGTGCTTTTTATGCTCCTCATTACACCTGGCCATACCCAAATATTTCACCTCCATTTCACGCTACTTTCAGACACCACCACTAGTCACTCAGTTCATCCTCCGATTCTGATTCCTCCCTATAGGTATGGATTGGGCCCTGCTGTTGAGCATACGAAGGATGCAAATCTTTAGATGACACGCGCCTTGGAAGGTAGGCTGGTTGCCAGCTGCGTGGATTATCGCCTACAGTTCGAAGGGACTGTGAATAACTTTGGAATTGGTTTTTATTCTGTGACTGCGAACTCTGTTGAGGTACACGGCTTCCTTCGTCGATGGAAGGGTTCCTAGTAATGCCAGGCCTGCTGGCTGATGCAGGAGGTTGGAATGAGCGTGAATATGCAGATGCTGTCATTGCCACAGAATGTGGTACAGGCGGGAGACCCGTGTAGGGCTCTTTTTCAGGAACGGCGGGAGGAACGGGAGGAGGTCGGTATGAAACGGTGGGTGCATTATTTGCAGCGTTACGTCTATGGTACGAATCGAACGTACGAGACATGGCTGCATCCTGCTCGGGCGTGATAGTGGGTTTCCAAATCTCGGGTACGTTTGGCGTAGAGCGTATATTGCTGTTTATGCTGCTGCTTACGCTAGTTTTATTTCGAAGGCTTCCTCTCCTCATATTATCTGACATGGCCGCATCCTGCTCGGGCGTGATAGTGGGTTTCCAAATCTCGGGCGTAGAGCGTATACCGCTGCTACTTATGCTAGCCTTGTATTGAAGGTTTCCTCTTCTGATACTGTCCGGCATATCCAGAGGAGGAGGAGACAGTCTGGTCATCCCTTCCATCTGGTGTACAAAAGGAGGCATCTTAGGCCGGTCCTGGATTCTCTCGCTCGTGTGCAAGGTGGAAGGAGCCCTGTAAGTACCCACCCCTTCTCCACTAATGGACCCGGAACGACTTTTCGTTTTATCAGGCCTTCCAGCGCCATAAAGATGTTCACCCCCTCGATCCCTCCAATCAGCAAAGTAACTGCCTTCACGTCCAGTCTCCTTGGTCCCCTTCGGAGTCAAGAGACCGTCTGATTTCCGATCTGTGGTAAGAGTCTTAGGACTCTCCGTTCGGGGAGGCTGAGCAGGTTGCTGTAGCTCAGCCTGTTCCCTCTCTTTCGCTTTCCTGTCCCAAATCGCTTGTAGTTGATTCTGCATTTTCCTATCTTTTGCTATCTTGTCCAAAATTGCTTGTTGTTCCTTCACCATTTCATTTGACCATGTCACATCTACTTTCTGGCCAGCACCCCAGCGACGTTCCTGTCTCTCCTGTTGGAGGGCAGTTTGGAACTGGTTTTCCGCCAATTTACGGATGTTATTCATCGCCTCATGGTGCTCCCTGCTTATACTCTCCCGATCTTCTTCGCTTACGACAGCCTGCGCCAGTCTGTCCCGCATACGCTTCCTAGCTTCATCGACCATTGAACTGAGGTTCACTGTGATCCTATCTCTGAGATTGAGCTTCCATCGCTCGTCAGGTTCCGTGTCAAGGTCAGCATGAGGGTCGGCGGGAGGGTTGTGTATCAATGTTGCCATCTCTTAGGCAAGGAATGGAGCTGAGGTCGGGGAGTGGTAGATGGTGTGGATATATGGCTGGAGGGCTTATCAGGTGCAAAGACACAGCCTGAGATTTCAGCGCTTGGAGAGTAAGAAGAGAAAATGGATGGGTGAGATAGGGTCAGGCGTAGGACCTCGCTGGTAGAGGACGTCTTTCATGATTCCATTATTATATATTACAGAGACTGGGCGTTAGCCAGCCTGCAGGCAGCATTCAACGTGGTTTATGTGCGGGTCGGCGACTGTTACTGCATACACCGGAAGAGTCGCACAAAAATGTGCCAACTGAAACGGAGTGCCACTGTTTTGCTTGGTCTCCTCTAAGCAAACCCTCCGAAGGTTGAATTTCCTATTTCCTGGCAACATTGTGTACTGAACGGACTCCTGTTTTTATTTATTACAGTGAATAGCCCCTTGACCAAATGGATGCGGTATTATACGCGGCGAGCTTAGTCACGGTCAGGAAAATGCCGCGACTTTTTGATCGATAGAAAGAAGTTCTGTTAAGAAAAGCCAAAGTACACAAGAACGGATAGACATCTTGTTGGTAGGAATTAAATTGAAGATGGGCCTGAGTACGTTGCTATCCCTAAGAACAAATTAACAGACTGAAATGGGCATAGTGAAACGTCTGGCACGATCATATTGTTGATTGCCCAGAAAGACCAGATACATCAATGGAGAAAGAGTTCAAAATAACATACTCCAAGACCTGATGAAGCCTTTAAAGGTCCATCGCTGGTGCGTCTTCCATCTAACATGAAACTGATGGACGATTTTCTAAATACAACTCGTATGTAGAGTTTGCTCGGAACGACTTGATTCGATTCAAGTTCGGAGTGAGCGGATGGGATTCGGGTTACTTGGAAGAATGACCGATGGTTTCTGGTGAGAGGCTATTAGAAAGGATCAACAGTGCCCAAGGATAGTCCCAGTCATCGAATTAAGGTATGAGCTGCCTTCCTATCATCAAGGTCTAGCGGACTGACTTTCAGGGCCCTCTATTATAATGTTTGATGCATAGCCTATCTGGAAGGTATGTCGAAGATCTGAAAAGTCTTGCGTCACTGAACGTGGCCCTCGTGTTTTAAAACAGAAGGAGCATAACATCATATCTTGTGGTTTGACCGTGACTATCGGCGCAGCCCTAACGACAACACCCCTTCATATGTGTTCTCAGCAGAAATCTGAAACTGTGATATTGCGAAGTAGTTGTCTATGTGGAACTTGCCGCACATATCAAAGTTTCAACGATCACGACAACTTCAGTAGCGTTATGTGCAAAGACCTCAAACAATAACTCCCAAATCGTACGTTGGAACAGACTGTCGGTAATCTCTTTTGATGTTTCGACTTATAAGCAATATTTCAAACCATGCTTGCTGTAAAGATGTTATGCGGATGGTGACAACAATGTGCAACTCCACAATGTTCGTCATGATCATCTATCAAATCGGTATTTTTTTTCGTTGGCATCGCTTTCTGATGTTAGCCCTGTTTAAAGGAAGGCTGCTGGTGGGACTGAATGAGTATCCACCCAACTTGCTTGAGCTTACTATGCGTCTGAAAATTTGCGAAATATGGGTTGTGACTGCAGCGGCGTTGTTAGGGGTAGCTGCGCAAGGTTCTCGTGCGTTTTCTACGAGTTCGATCCAGGTACGTCGGTTTTTCTATCCAGTCAGAATTCTTGTAACGTTTACACTTTAGTGAGTGCGATCATTAGCTTGTGGAATGCTTTAGCTGAAGGTTTTCCAGGTATTTGGAGTTCACACCTCGGGAGACTGCTATATCTGCTCGGGTATATCTCGACGTAAGTTCTTTTTACTACTATCAAGTAATGGATTGTTGAAGACCAGCACTCTCAATACTGCTACTGCCTCACAGAAATATATCATTGGTAGGTGGTCGAGATCTTCATCATGCGTTGATGACTGCTCACTATCCCGACCTCAATTACCAGTCTGCGACCTTGCACCTATGTGTTTTCTTACTCCTCTTCCTACAGTCTCGGTTGTCACATCCTCAATTACGAGCAATGTTCAACTCTTGCCCACCATTAGCCTCACTACTGTAAAACTTTATTCCTCTCAGTGGATTTCTCCCTGGCAAAGTCCCCCTGTCCGCACTTCAACTACGCCAACAAGCGTAGGTACCACGTCCACATCCACACCCACATCCGCATCCGCATCCACATCCACTTCCATAGATATTTATACCTCTTCAGGAACTTCCTTTATGGACACGACTTCTGTCGTTTCCTCAGTCGTGGATGGTCAGTTTACAATCACTGCCACTTTCAGGACGACTTCCACGCTGGCGGATACTTCACGGTCCCACATTGGTGCCATTGCGGGTGGTGCAGCCGGGGGTGTAGCTAGCATTGCAATTGTTATCATATGCGCTATTTTATTTATGCGCCGACGTGCTAAAGTCATTACTCCGTCATTGGATGAATCTACACACCATAGCACCGTGATTAGGACACCAGGGCCACATGCCTTACCATCGCTTCGCCCAACTCCAGTAACGTCCTCAGTTATTGAAGGACATGTCAGACCCTTCGGAGTAGACCTAGATTCTCGCCACAGCTTGGTATCACAAACTCAGCCTCGACCGTCCTCGATGCCACCACCGGATAGGAAGGAAGACTTCGCCATGCCTACCAACTTGAACACCGCCCAGTCGAATAGTATTAACGATCCACTCACACATACTATACTCCGGTCACCTCTCCAGTCTTCTTCTCGATCATCCATAGCGGCACCATCATACAGGTCCGAGCCTTCCAGCAGTGCGGAGTCTAACGCTTTAAATGCATCACTTATCCGACCCTCCAATTACCCGCTTTTGCAGGCTAGTCCTCGATCATCTTCGGAAGTACAATTGTCCAGGACAGGCAATCAAGTATGGCATGAGAGCATAACCGATACATGTCCTCCCAGTTACATATCCTCGCAACCTTCCCTTCTACCATCGTCGGTGGTACCATCGATTAGGACGGCAGATAGTGACATGCACATTAGTACCACCGGATCTGACCTCCCTGCATACTCTCGTGTTGCCGCTGAGTCTCGGCAGTCCTTGGCGGCACCATCTTATAGTAGTAGGCCAGGTTCAAGTTAACACCGTCGTTGAGCCAAATTTTCTTGTCGATACCATCCCAGCTTTACCCCGAGCGTCAAGCCTGGTGGCCTACCTTTGATGGCTAAAATGGCAGCCATCTGCCGATCGAAGTGTAATGTTCTCGCGTGCTATTTATCCAAAATCCCCACCAGTAAAATGAGAATTGTTCTGTCTATCTAGAATCCCAGTACACTTGCTTCCAAAACTATAATCAATTATGCGGCTGTGTCACTTCACGTTTCATTTCCTTTGAATATCTTTAGGTCATCCTTTCAGTCTCTATGACCTCCACGCACACATCACTCCTGTTCTTTACATCTGGCTTCGTGTGCACACCTTTCCTCTTGGCGCCTTTTATCCTCCTCTTACGCCTGGCCACCTCTTCTACACATCTCAGCTCCATTTCAGGCTGCTCTCGGACACCACCTGCTTACTCACTCAATTCATCCTCCGATTCTGGTTCCTCCCTATAGGTATGAGTTGGGCCCTGCTGTCGAGCATAAACAGGGCGGATATCTTTAGGTTGTAAGCGTCCTGGAACGTAGGAAGAAAGCCAGCTGCGTGGAATATCGTCTGGGGTTCGAATGGACTGTTAATAACTTTAAAATTGACTTTTATTCTGTGATCGCGAGTTCTGCTGCGGTATGCGGCGTCCTTCGTCGATAGATGTGTTCCTAATGATGCCAGGCCTGCTGGCTGATGTAGGAGGTTGGAATGAGCGTGGATTATCAACGGGGCGTGAATATGCAGATGATGTGTTTGGCACAGAATTTGATAATACTGACAGGGAAATTGCGTAGCGCTCTTTGTCGCGCTCAGGAGAAGGTCGGTATGAAAATGTGGATGCGGTACTTGCGGTGCTACGTCTATGATACAAATAACGTACGAGACATGGCTGCATCCTTCTCAGGCGCGAGTGTAGGATTCCAAATCTCGGGTACACTTGGTGTAGAGCGTATACTGCTGTTACTTATGCTAGCCTTGTGTCGAAGGTTTCCCGTCCTGATACTATCTGACATATCAGGGGGAGAAGGTGATGATCTGGTCGTGTCCTCGATCTGGTATACAAAGGAGGCATCTTAGGCTGGTCCAGGATATTCTCGCCCGGCGTGTGCGAGATGGAAGGAGCCCTGTAAGAACCCACTCTGAGTCCTTCCCCACTAAGGGACCCGGTACAACTTTTCGTTCAGTCAGGCCTTCCAGTGCAATAAAGATGTTCACCCCCTCGGTCCCTCCAATCAGCAAAGTAATTGCCTTCACGTCCAGTCTCCTTGGTCCCCTTTGGAGTCAAGAGACCGTCTGATTTCCAATCAGTGGTAGGAGCTTGAGGACTCTCCGTTTGGTGAGGCTGAGCAGGCTGTTGTACCTCAGCCTGTTCCCGCTGTTTCACTTTCCTGTCCCAAACCGCTTGTTCCTAGGACCCCCTCCATTTTGCGGTCTCTTTCTATATTGTCCAAAGTGCTTGTTGTTCCCTCACCATTTCATTTGTCCATGTTGCATCTACGTTCCAGCCTTTCCCGCTGGAGGGCAGCTTGGGAATGGCTTTCCGCCAGTTTAACGATATGATTCGTGGTGCTCCTTGCTCATACTCTCCCGCTCTTCTTTGCTTAGGACAGCCTACGCCAGTCTGTCCTGCATATTCTTTTTAGCTTCGTCGACCATTGAACGGAGATTCATTGTGATCTCCTGTCTGAGATAGAGCTTACATTGCTCATCAGGCTCCATTTCAAGGTTGACATAAGGGAATGTGATCTGTGTCCAGGTTAACGACTGCAAACACCGGAATCTCATGCCCACACCGTGCACAGCCACTGTTTGGCTTATGCAAACGAAAGTTTGGAAATCCTGTGCGCAACATGATTGTGCACCGACTCGGAACGGACTCTTAAGATTCTTATTGTTATATTTTTTATACAGTAAGTAATAGTCCTTTTTGTGGTGCAGTATCGTACACAGTGAGCTTATTCATGATCAGGAAAATGCTGCTACTCTTGATCGACAGAGAGGAGTTCTGTTAAGAACTTTAGAAAAGCGAAAGAATAGAAGAAAGGACTATACATCTTGTTGGTAAGCATTTGATTGGGATGCTGAGCTATCCCTCACGGCAAACCAACAGACTCAAACAGGCCTAGTGAAACTTCTGACACAAACACAATGTTGATGAAAGACCGGATACATCGAAAGGAGAAAGAGCTCAAAACAACATACGCCAAGATCAAAGCCTTTCAAGGTCCACCACCGGTGCATCTTCAATCTAACTTGAAGCTAATGGACGTATGTAGAATTTGGAACTTGCTTGAAACGAGTTGATTCAAGCTCAGAATAAGCAGACGAGACACTTCCAGCTTCGTGGACAGTTGCTTGTAAGAATGGCTGATGGTGTCTCGTGAGAAGTTATAATGGAGGATCAACAATGCTGAAAGATCCCATTAGATGTGCCATACTGCCCGTGATCGACTTAAGGTATGAGCTGCCTTCCCATCATCAAGGTCTAGCGGACTGACTTTCAGGGCCCTCTATTATAATGTTTGACGCATAGCATATCTGGAAGGTATGTCGAAGATCTGAAAAGTCTTGCGTTACTGAACGTGGCCCTCATGTTTATTTTCTTTCTAGTTTGGGACGTAACATCATATCTCGTACCTCGATCGTGGCCATCTGCGCAGCCTTAACAATAATAACCCTTTGTGTGTGTTCTCAGCATAGATCTAAAACTGTGATGTCAGGAAGTAGTTGTGTATGTGGAACTTGCCACACATCAAAGTTTCAACGACCGTGACAACCTCGGTAATGTTATGCAAAAGTCTCAAACAAGCACTCCCAAAATTTTACACCGGAATAGACTGTCGGTACGAGTGAATATCTTTTGGCCATATTGACAGCTTATAAACAATATTGTAAACGATGTCTACCATAAAGATGTTGTGCAGAAGGTGACAACAATGTGCAACTCGACAATACTCATCATGATCATCTATCAAATTGGTATTTTTCGTTGGCACTGTTTCTGATGTTAGCTCTGGTTAAAGGAAAGCTGTTGGTGGGACTGAATGAGTAGCCACCCAACTTGCTTGAGCTTACTATGCGTCTGAAAATTTGCGAAATATGGGTTGTGACTGCAGCAGCGTTGTTAGGGGTAGCTGCGCAAGGTCCACATACATTGTCTACGAGTTCAATCCAGGTATGTTGGCCTTTCCTATCCAGTCAGGATTCTCGTAATGTTTACTTTTCAGTGAGTGCAAGCATTAGTATGCGGAATGTTTTGGCTGAAGGTCTTCCAGGTATCTGGAGCTCACACCTCGGGAGACTATTACATCCGCTCAGGTATATCTTGAAGTAATTTTCTTGCACTACTCCCAGATGTAAATCTCAAGTAATGGGTTATTGCAGAAGATCAGCACTCTCGATACTGCTACTACCATACAGCAAGATTTTGGTAGGTGGCTGAAAGTTGTTATGTGTTAATGACTGCTGACTATCCCCGCTCTAGTTGTTATACATTTTGCAAGAGCCGACAGCTCCGCTACAAGTTCATGCGGTGGTCTTCTTGGGCTTGGAATTGGATGTCCTTCTACATCCTTGACTTCCATACACCCGACTACGACACTCACGCCCACCAGTAGCCTCTACAACACTTCTGTTCTCGTCATTCCTACTCTGCAGCCCAGTTACCCTGCAGCCACTAACCGCTCACATATTCCTACAAGCAGCATAAGTCCAACTACGTCAACAAGCCTAGGCACCACTTCTATGTCCACAGATATCTATACCTCTTCAGAAACTTCATTTATGGATACAACTCCTGTCTTTTCCTCGGTCTTGAGTGGAAAGCTCACAACCACTACCTCTTCAGGAATGCAGTCTATGGACACAACATCTGTTGTCTCCTCGGTCACGGTTGGTCAGCTTACACTCACTACAACTTTCAGGACGACTTCCACGTTGGCAGATGTTTCAGGCTCCCACACTGGTGCTATTGTGGGTGGTGCAGCCGGGGGTGCAGCCGTCCTTGCAATTATCATCTTAAGTGCTGTTTTATTTATGCGCCGACGTGCGAAGATCATTGCTCCATCAACGAAGGAATCTACCTACCATAGCATAGGGACTTCAGGGCCACATATTCCATTGTTGCTTCGCCCATCTCCAATAGCACTTTCAGCTATTGAAGAACAAGCCAGACCTTTTGGCATAAACTTGGATTCTCACAATAGCTTGGCGTCACAACCTCAGCCTCGGCGGTCCTCGATGCTACCATCGGATAGGAAGGAGGACTTTGCCATGTCTATCAACACCGCCGAGTCTAATATCATCAATGGTCCACTCGCACATGCTACACTCCGGTCACCTTTGATAACTCAGGTACACTACGAAGAATATCGCGCTAGTGCTAAACCTGTTGATAACTCATTTGTTCAACTTGCATCTCATCCATCCCCGACGGTACCATTGTATTGGACAGAGGATGATCTTGGACCTACCGGAATTTCAGAACCTCTTCTAGCACCTGTCCAGTCTTCTCCTCGATTATTTATAGCGATACCGTCATACAGGCCCGAGCCTTCCAGCAGGGCGGAGTCTAACAATTTCCATACATCACCCATGCACCCTTTGTTACAATCATTCCCAGGGTCAACATCACGTAGAACAGAATACGACCCAAGGCCGGCTAGAATCACTGGGTCAGATGCTTCCAATTACCAGCTTATGCAAACTAGGCCTCAATCATCTTTGGCAGTGCAGTTGTCTAGGACAGGAAATCAAGTATGGCATGGGAGCACAACTGAGCCATGTCCCCCCAGTTACTCATTTCCGCAACCTTCCTTTCAACCATCGTTGGTGGCACCGTCATTTAGGACCGCAGATAGCAACATGCCCATTGGCACCGCCGAATTTGATCTTCCTGCCTATTCAAGTGTTACCGCTCGGTCTCGGCAGTCCTTAGCGGCACCATCGTATAGTACTACAATCTAACACTGTTGTGGATCCTATCCTAGATTTACCCTGAGTGTTGTCTTTTACGCTCTTGTATGGAGATGGGTGTTAAGCTGGCCTACGCTTGATGGCTAGAATGGCGGCCATTCAACCAGTCAATGCTTATTGTTCTTGGGTACAATTTATCCAAAATCCTAGGTAGTAAAATGGGAATCGTTCGTTTATTTAGAAGTCCAATACACTCACTTCCAATTTCTCTACTTCTCCCTTATTAATTATCGCATCCTGGCTACTATACTGGTATCCTGGAGTCCAACCATCCAAAACTCCTACTACCATCTATATTTCTTTTTTACCTGAGGAGTTGATTAACCGTGTGATATGCATTTTTTGAATGTCCTATATTATTACTGTATATTCTCTGAAATATGGTTCATGTTGGATGTAGATGTAGAAACTAGGAACAGTCAGGGCTACATTATAGAGTATTGGTTGGAATGATAACAAGGGAGAAATATAAATAAGACATACCCTCAGTTGTACACAGAACAACTGAGGGGATTGGATGAACAAGAAGAGAATCTGTATATGAGAATTGAATGTATCAGGCGTGGTTGGTGTGTATAAGTTGAGGTGGCCTGTGCACCAATATATCCCATCAGTAAAATTTTTGGTTCTGCCTTACTTATAAAATGGCCTGGTTGCCACATAGCATCTCAGACTCATCTATGAGTTCTGAGGTGAGACCCTTATGTTTCCCCCCTTCAAATACCTAACTAATCATTAGTATAGCTTTTATCTTATCTAGATTGGATTGGATCCAATCAATCTCAGGTTATGATCCCTGTTAACAATGTCAACAACAAATAATTGCTCAGAATACCAAAGCCTGAGCCTGACAGCTCAAACTGGTCTATATATTGACAAAACCGGATAAACCCGGTCTCTGCTAAAGCAGCCATTGTTCTCCATGGAGCATAATGGCTGCTTCATGGAGTCACCATTGTTCTTCTAGGAGCACAATTGTACTCCAAGGAGTCATTATACTGTAGCGAGTAGCACCTCCGACTATAAGTAGTAGGGGGTTTAGTATAGGAATACCTCAGTCGTTTCTATAGCCTCTTAGGTAGCGGCTGAGTTTCATTTAGATTTATTATATATAAGACAAGATTAGCTTGGGCACTGGCGGATAAGGAGTGATTAGAGCACTTACTTGGTATGGCACCAACACCTCCAGTGACCCTGACAATGGCAGCAGAGCGAAAGACTCTTGCAGCCTGGTCCGAGTAAGAGAACTATGAGCAAAACATCCTGGGATGTACAATCCCAGTGTTACAATCTGGTCTTCCATTATGATTGTATTATTAAGAACAAAGCTTGAAGGAAGTGTCTAGCCACTTGCTGAGAGCAATCAGGGACTGGAACTAGAGTCCAATGTGAGTAACTTTATTATTAGAGAGTATGACAGGTATACAGTACCTAGAGTCCAATGTGAGTAACTAGAGAATAGGAAGCATTGGACTCTGCAGTACTGTCCGAAGTTTTGTAAACAAAGGTAAACAAAGCAGCCACAAAGGCAAAATAATAGAGAACACAATCAATAGTGAATGATAGAAGAATAGATAGAGAAAGGAATAAAAATATATAGGTAGCACAAAGGTGCAGAATCACCAAAACTAACACTCCCCCCTGATGCTGTACCTCCCAAGCATCAGCTCCCCCCTGATCTAATAAGTCCCATCATCTTCCTGAACACTTCCACTTTAGGCTTGGCAAGAGCCTTGGTCAACAAGTCTGCAGGCATTTCAGCAGTGGGAACAAAGGTAGGAGCAATCTGCCCAGAGTCAACAACATCTCTCAACCAATGCCATCGTAGATCAAGGTGTTTCATCCGACCATGGTGCTCAGGGTTCTTGGATACAGAGATGGCAGATTGGTTGTCAATATGAAGGGTGGAAGGAGAGGTGATAGGATAGCCCATTTCCTTCAACAAATTTTGCATCCAGCAAATCTCTTTGCCAGCCTCAACAGCAGCAATGTATTCTGCTTCAGTGGTGGACAGAGCAACAATGTTCTGAAGCTTGGAGCTCCAGGAGACAGCACTAGATCCCATCTTGACAATATAGGCACCAGTAGAACGACCAGAGTCCTTGTAACCACCATGATCAGCATCAGAGAAAGTAGTGAAGAGTTCAGTGGAATTGGGATCAGGACCAAGGACAAGGGAATGATCAAGGGTGCCTTGCAAGTAGCGGAACAAGTGCTTGACAGCGCTCCAGTGAGTAAGACCAGGATTAGAGTTATATCTGGCAAGGACTCCAACAGTGTAGGCAATGTCAGGACGAGTGGTAGTGGCCAGATACATCAAAGCACCAACAGCAGCAAGGTAGGGAATGTCCTTCATCAAAGCAGCATCACTGGATGTTTTGGGAGACATGTCCTTGGTGAGGCGCAAACCAGGATCCATGGGAGTGGACACAGGCTTGCAGTCCTTCATGCCAAAGCGCTCCAGAATGTCCAGAGTGTACTGATGTTGAGAGAGGGAGATGGTGCGATCACTTAGGTCTCTAGTGATGGAAATGCCAAGTAGGTAAAAAGTAGGGCCAAGATCACGAAGCTTAAAGTGCAGGGAGAGGTCCTTGACAGCTTGGTCAAGTGCAGAAGTAGAAGTGGATGCCAGTGTCATGTCATCAACAAAGACAGGCAGGATAATGTGCACATCAGCTCTGTTAAAGACATAGATGGCAGAGTCTGAATAAGTACGCTTGAAT